CTCCCAGCCAGAAAGACGGTCTCTTGACACAGCCTGTGGGAGTCCTTGAGTACAGGCTGCCCCCAGGGCAGCTGTAGTCAGGAGGACAGGGGACATCTGGACACTGGTACTAGAAACAGCCTTGTTGGGAACACCCAAGGTAGGCCTCCACATCAGTCTCTCCCTGATGGAGGCCCATCTTCTTCTCTCTATAACCCACAAGCAGGGGCATTCTCTTAATTCAGAGATGCTGGCCTGATTGCCTACTGCCACAGGTCCAGCTCTTTAGACTGTACAGCTGATCCCCAGAGACAACCCTTTTAGACTGTGCCAAAGGCCAAGCTTCCAGGTACTCCCCTGGTGTGTGATAAGCCTTCAGAGGCCTTAATAGTCAGCCTAGCTTAGAGGGCTCTGCCCTTGAGAAACACTGACAGAGAAGCTCTGCTTGGCCACGGGTCCTGATGGAGTGTGGAGGGCTGGCAGGTGTTCAAAGAGGGCTAGGTAGTTAGCAGGTCAGCTGACATCCTCCACAGGCCCTGCCAGGTGAACCCTAACCAGAGTCCTGGGGTAGGTCATTTCTGTTCTCACCCAGGGCTAAGGTCCCACCCTAAGAGCTGCCCAGAGCCTGCGCACTGATCCTACTGCAGGTGGGACCCAGCCTCCTCTCCCTGCTGGGGCTGGCACTCGGTGGCAACAGGTGTAGCACTGGGCCATTCTAACGGTGGGAAAGGCTGATCACACATTGGGTGGGGAGTGTGTGGTAACCTGCACAGTATATAGTAATACAGCTGCAACAGCTTTTTCCTTTCTCTAGGCGACAGCAGCTAGACCAGGATTCAGGGAGCACTGGGCCATTTGCTCAGAGACAGGGAACAAACCAGCCAAGACAGGGCAGGAGCAGGTACCACCAGCTCTCGCTTGCTCAGATCCAGGCTATCAGGCTTCAGACTAAAACTGCTGGCTAGGGGGCATGTGAGGTGGGGGGTAGGTCAAGTGAGGACAGCCATGAAGGCTGAGGCCATGTCAGGGAGGGGAAGAGTGGGGAAGAATGGAGTGTGGCTCCAGCCTGATGCAGCCCCTGGTCGTTGGGAACCTCCAGGCACAGCACACACAGCTACCTGTTCTGGGCCTGGAGGGAGCCATATGGAAGTTGCTGAAGGCAAAGCCTAGTCACGGGATACATTAAAGTCATGTTGCGTTGGCAAACAATCCTCTCCAGACATCAGGGCTGATGTGAGCGTGAGTGTGCACAGTGTGCATGGAGTAGCTGTCTACCATCCGCAGGGCACGTGCTGCCCTTGGCTCTTCTCACACCAAAAGCCACAGGTCCCAGGCCTAGCAGCTGACGGACGGAGGAAGGGCCAGCGACAGTACAGACACTAGTGCCACCCAGTCCAGGGAGAGAGACGAAGCCTGTCATTACAGATACTTGAGCCCTGCTTTCCCAGAGTCCTTGATGGAAGAAGGGGTCCAGGGGAGCAGAGTGTCTCACCTAAGGAAGCCATGGAGCTAGGCAGAAGCAGGATGGGGTGGTGAGAGTCAGTTTAGGAGCCTGCTCAGAAAGTGTCAAGGGGCTACCCTGCCTGAGGCTGGACCACTGCTTCTTCCTGGGAAGACCCAAGGCCGAGAGCCTTGGGGTGAGGGAGGACAGGCCCTCTGGTCAGTGCTGTGGCCACTCAGAGAAAAAGTGGCAAAGCGGGCCCTGACCAGGCAGGCCTGGGAGCAATCAGTGGCATTTCCATGGAGATACAGATGTGCAGGCTGAGGGGTTGGGGAGTGGCCAGTGCCCAGTGTCCACTAGGAGAGTCAGCAGTGACCTGTCATGGGGAGGCAAACCACAGGACAGCTCACAGGGCAAAGAGTGCGTCCTCAGACCGCTCTGGCTTCTTCCGGTTGGAAGTATTTGAGGCTGGTGCAGGGGCCTCTGTTGGGGGTGAGGGCAGGTCTGGAACTGTTTCTGCAGCTTTGGCTCGCTCTTCCAGGAACTTATCGAACTCTGCAATACAAACCAAATTGAGGGATAGGCTTGGTGAGGGTTGCATAGCGGGAGCCCCATACCCTGGTTTCCAGCTCCATGTGCAGGGGATGGGAGGGAGTGGAGGCGGGAGGAGTCCCCGGCAGGAGAACAACCCAGCCAGGTCCAGGGTTATTCCAGGCCCTCCTGGTCTGGGGATCAGCCTAAGGGAAGTCACTGTTCCTGACTCTCCACAGACAGAGCTGGTGGAAGCTGGATTAGGGGATGTGAGTGGGGAGGACCCAGTATATTGCTGTGGGCCCCATGATGGGAAAAGGGTCTGACAGCCCCCAGTCTCTTCAGAGAGGGCTTTGGGAAAAAACAGAGGGTACAGAGCACCTACTCCCCGAGAGCTCAGAGTTCTATTTCCCCAGATCAGCACAAGCAGGGCTGAGAGTGGGCCAGCACCTGCTTACACCACAGATTCACCCTCACTGACCCACGCAAGTCCTCGGACTGGTCGCTGTCATAGGGGAGGGGTAGCCTAGGGTGAGGTACGGAAGGCAAGATGGAGAGGGGGATGTCAGATGGGAAGAGGGTAGGAGCCTTGCTGGAAAACTAGGCCTGTGTTCCCACCTGACAGATTCTCAAGAGGCCCTCACATTCTGTGCGTTGTATGATCTGTGTGTACAGGGGACTTAGGACCTGGGCAGAACCAAGGATAGTAACCTGTGCCCTCCATTCACCCTCTTCCTGACCTTTACAGCGCTGTCTCCATCAGCATGAGTCCCCATGAAGGCTAGGGCTCAGGCCCAGCACCACAGGGATCTAGTAGCTGAGGCCCTGTGCAGCCCTGAGAGGAAGGAGCCAAGAGAGCAGAAGGCCACTGGCCAGGCCTACCTTCACTAGTGACACCCTCTTCCAGGTCGTCACCCTTCTGTGAATGAAGCAGAGAATGGCATTAGGGCTCATTCCTGTCTTGCCCACCCAGCCACCTCTGTCCACCCATGGCTACCCAGTGAAGTCCTTCTTTTCCTATTTCCAGATTCTCTTCTTCCTATTAGAGAGGCAGAGAGTGTGCTTTAAAAAATGTTTAAGCGCCGGGTGGTGGTGGCGCATGCCTTTAATCCCAGCACTAGGGAGGCAGAGGCAGGCGGATCTCTGTGAGTTCGAGACCAGCCTGGTCTACAGAGCTAGTTCCAGGACAGGATCCAAAGCCACAGAGAAACCCTGTCTCGAAAAACCAAAAAAAAAAAAAAAAAAGTTTAAGCCAGGTGGTGGTGGCGCACGCCTTTAATCCCAGCACTCGGGAGGCAGAGGCAGAAGCAGGTGGATATCTGTGAGTTTGAGGCCAGCCTGGTCTACAAAGTGAGTCCTAGGACAGCCAGGGCTTTACAGAGAAACACTGTCTTGAAAAACAACAACAATAACAAAAAATGTTTAAAAAAGCAAAGTGACAAAGATTTTAGGTTTTGATCTCCTAGAAGGGCAAGAAAGAAAAATCCAAAATTGGTGTAGGCTGCTACCTGGGCCAGAGGGGAGAACCCCACCATCACTACCAGGCTCTGGGGAGAGATGCCACTGTCGCATGAGGCTGAGGCATGCCAGTGCTGCCAGCACAGGGATTCTGGAAAAAACGCCATCCACACCAACAGCAAGAATCCACTTGGGGCCTGGATAGCCTCAGCCTGATCTCCAGTAGGTCCTTTGACAGTGGAAGCTATCACCTAGAAACAAGCCCCATGGCCTCCTAGGAGCTATCACTGCCTTCCCCTAGACCTAAGCTCCCATTTTGCTGCCTAAAAGGGCCATGGAGGCACTGTGCACCTCTAGACATTTAAGTGGCTCACACTTGATTAGAGAGGAGCTCATACATGGGCCTTCCTGGGAAAGGACCCATGATGGAGTGAAGAGTCACCAGCAGGGCTGAGCAACCTGGGCCTCTGACCTGTCACTGCCTTGTGAGAGTCTTGCTAACAAACCCTTTCTGGGTCTCATGTAGCCAGGTTGGCCTTGAGCTCACCATGTAGCTAAAGCTAGCCTTGCACTTCTGATCTTCCTGCCTCCACTTCCCAGATGCTGGGCTTACAAGTGTGTGGCACCATGTAATGTCTGGGACAGGGCCTGCGATTTTCTGTCCCTGCCTCTGTGAGGGCCATATTTCTTCCTAGGCATCCCTGGAAAGGTCAGAGGGGAGTTCTTTTAGCCTTCCCTGCCACCCAGGTGGCTGCTTCCTTGGGCTGTATCTTTAGAAGGCCTAGCCTCCTGGGGAAGAGGCAGTGTTGGCTCCTAACATAGCACGCTGCCCTCTTTCACAGGGGAGGTGCCACAGGAAACCTGTAGCCACCACCGAATCCCTCCTACATCCAGCAGCTGTGAATGTTGTGCTCTGTAAGGAGAGGGAACTGACTGAGGCCATCTTCAGATGCATGATTTTCTGTCTTTTGCCCATCCCAAAAGATGGGCAAACATTCTTTTGGGGCAGGAGCTCTTTTAAACAAATACGAGAAGACAGTGAGAATGGGATGATGGTATATTTAAAATCAAGCATCTAACTCATTTATGAAATGAATAAAGAAAAAAAAGAAATGAAAATGTTGGGCTGTGGTACTTGCCCATCAGCATGCACAAGGCCATGAATTCAATCCCCAACACGGGGCAAAAAAGAGAAAAGGAACAAAAACCAAAACACAAAAATATCTGCTTCCCTTAAAATAAAAAGCAAAATGAAACAGAGACAAATAAGCAGAAAAACCACTCAAACATACACCGTTGGCATTTGAGAGAGATGGGGAGGGTTTGGCATGTGTCAGGAGTGGTTCGAGATGGGCTCTCTAATTCCACAGATGTGAGACATCTACATGGGACTGTGTGGCTGAGAGGCTGTGCCCAGAGCCAGCACCACCAGCGTCCACATGTTGAAAAGAAAGGTGAGCTTGGCTGAGCTGCCCCCTCCCTCCTCCCACCCACCATGGTGGAGGGGGCCCCTGCCACAAGCCCCAAGGCCTGTCCTCAGAACATCTGCCTTGCCACAACCCCCACACGAAATGTAGAAATCAAGTCTCACCAGGTCTGTCCTGAGCCACACCTCAATGTCGTCCATGACAGAGGGCTGCGCAACGGGGATCTAGGAAGGCAGAGGCGGCAAGCAGCGGGCGGGGTCAGGCAGGCCCCCACACAGGCAAAAGAAGACAGAACACCAGAACAAAGTAAATCATCAAAAGTAACCCCCAAACAAAACCAAAATGTACACAGAGCAAAACAACTACAAGGCACGCACAGGCAACACAGGCAGCTGCATGAGAAATGGCGGGTGAGGGGAGCAATGAGCTGGTAAATTAGAAGAAGCAGGCTGGTCAGCAGGGGCTGGTGGCGAGAAAGTACGTGTTCTTGATATGGATAACTTTTTGCTTGTGTGTGTTTGCCTTTTCAGGCCAGGCTACAGAGCACCTCCTAATCTCAAGAAGGCACAGTCCTGCAGCAGCCATGGCAGAGGATCCGCTGCATTTAGTGAAGAGGCTCTCGGGCCTGAGGGAAGCTGAGCAGCAACATTCCTAGAGCAGGCTGTGGGTTCTCAGGAGGGCACCCCAGCCCTGGGCCTCTGTCTACTAGCTGAGGTGGCTTTCTGAGGGGGGAAGGAGCCAGAGGCACGTGCTCCCTCGGTCTGTCTGCTTCCAGAAGGCAGGCACACTCCCATTAATGGAGACACAGCTAACAAACGAGGCTTTGATGACAAAAAGGACAGAGGGCTTTAGTCTCTTTCTCTCCTTTGAGGAAAAAATACCACCCGACACCCCGAATGCCACAGCGTCCTTTAGTCTCATTCTCTCTGCTCTCAGCAGCTGGCTAAGCCTTAGTCACTGAGAAAGGTAATCTAATGCGGGCCGGGGAGCAGGATGCTTAGGATGTGGCAGGGCTCCCCAATAAACCGCATGGGTATTGGAGAAGGTGCCATGCCTCGGCCTGAGTCAACGGCCCCAGAGCAGAGACTATGAAAAATATGTGCAACTAAAAACATTTACATTGCTATCAGATAAGAGGTAAAGGCGGCCTTTAAACCCCTGGAAGTCACGTTAATAAAAGGTTGGCTCCCTGCCTAGACAAATGAGATGATGGCCTTTAGTCAGGGCAACCTGCCTCTTCGCCTACCCTGGGACTGAGAGGTGTCCCACCTGGGAGGCTTGCTTATTAGCCCCATTATTTCTAGAAAAAAAAAAAAAAAGAGAGAATGACAGTACTGTGTCCATAGCTGGCTGCATTCTAAAGTCACAGTCTAGAGTAAGGATGAACTTTAAATAGGCAATAAGGAGACCCAGTATAAAAAGTAACAAAAATAACCCACAAAGTCCAGCCTGAAAAGGAAGAGAACAAAGGGTTCATATTGCTGGTTCCAGCTTTAGAGGTTGAGATCTGTTGCCAAAAAGGTGTGGCACCCGCACATGCTGAGCAGATGTCAGCAGCACCACCTATGGCAAGCTGGTGACCCCCGGTCCGAGAACATGCTCTGTGCCCATCTTCACCCTGCCGGAGGCAGGCACACAAGTGTTTTCAGAATGGCTCACTAATCAATAGGCACCGTCCCTCTGTGTCGCCATTTTAACCCCCAGACACTCCAAACTGTCATACTGGGTATTTCAGGGAGTCCTGGTGACAAAGGAGACGATTACTCAGTCGTGGCGAGAGCAAGGATGCTCAGTGGCTGTGCCTACAGTGCTCAAGGCAGATGCCTGCCTCCCCATCAAAGAACGCTGGGACACAGAGGGGGCACTGCTATCATGACCGCGGGCGAGCAGGTTTCTACCTTGATGGACATCCCGGAAGGGATGTGCTGTTCTCAATCGTGACATCTATAAACCACGTCTGACTCGTTGGGGACATGTGCCATGCCTAGCCCCCAGCTCAGAAAGACAAACATTTTTCCAATGAGAAATGCCGACCACAGCAGCTGCTAGGGTGCACACGAGCACTTTTGTCTTCTCTAGCTCAGTCTACCTGGAAGAAACCGAGAGTCCGCCTTTCTTCCTGCAGCGTTGGGGTGGAACACAGGCTCTCCGGCAGGAGGGATGAACACTTCCACTGTGTTGCTAGTTTTAAAAGGTCCCAGGCTAAACAGACATTTCAGGGCTTTCTTCCTTATAATTCTTTTCATTGCTGTTAAAAAGTAGAGGGCTAGGCTGGGCCTGGTGGCCGGCACACACCTTTAATCCCAACACTTGGGAGGTAGAGGCAGGCAGATCTCTATGAGTTTGAGGCCACCCTGGTCCACATAATGAGCGCCAGGACAGCCAGCGCGATGAAGCAGTGGTCTAGAGGTGTAATTCAGGAGTACTTGCCTACCATGTGTGAAGCTTTAGGTTTAGTACACATCATAAACATCTGCAAACAGCTGAACACATCCCTGCAATGGCAGCAAAGCAAGACAAAAATGGGGCTGGGCTCCACCTGGACCACACTGTCCAGCTGTAGGCCTGGGGCAAGTCACTTCTCTCTGCGCCTTTCTTCAATCGGGGAGCCAGCCTCTTCTGTCTTAGAAGTCTCAGTTATGTGGCAGAAGGTGAAGGAGTTGGCCTGGGCATTTCAACAAGGCGTGGCCTCCATCTCCTCACCTGTGAACAGGGTGACTGTAATGTGGCATTCTGAGTCTAACACGAACATTCTGAGTCAGGATCCCTCATGGTCCAGGTTTGTGTTTCTATATTCTAACATAGACACCCAAGGGAGTCTAGTCACAGGAACTGAGTCTCTTGGGCCTCAGGGCACGTTCTGAGGAGCTAGGGTGCTATTTCTCGGCTAGGCTTATGTGATGGAAGGCAGGTGACTGGATGCAGAAGCATAGCTATGAACCAGCTCTGGGAAGCAGGCAGAGCCTCGCTCTCATCACACAGGTATAGCCAGACCCAATCTTAACACGTACACTGACTGGAAAATAGACCTGCAGAGGCCCAGAAAGAGGGAGAAACAAGTCCCTCTCCTGCTGATAGAGGAAGGGGGCATGGCAAGAAGTCTCGGTGTGTTTCTGTCCTGGGACTTCGGGGTCTAACATCTAACCCTTATTGGCTCATCCATCAGATCTCTGGAAAGCTTTTAGCCATTCTGTCATGGTTTTAGCATCTTCTTGGACAGTGATCCAAGCTACAGGCTGTTACAGGAGGTTATAAAGAGTGATGAGGGAGACGGAGAATGGATACGAAGAGAAAGGACTCTACCCTGAACACCCTCCCATAAACACCAAGCCCAAATGTTGCTGCCTGTGAAAAGAGCAGCCAGGCTGGAGCCCTGGTAACAATACCCAGCCCATCTCTGATGCCAAGTTAGGCAAGTTAGGATCTGGGTGGTGGGCAGAAGTCCTGTTGTTGGCACCTATGGGTCACTCCACCTTAGGAACAAGAAAGAGGTGAGGCACTGGCACGGCCCAGTCAGTCTTTTGTTTGTTTTCACCTTTGGTGTCCTACGTCTGATAGTGTGCCAGAGTTACAGAGTGGAGATAACTAGCATCAGCCTCTGACAGCAGCAGTAGGGTTTTTTACTTACCTGTTTTTACTTTTCATCGTGTGTGTGTGTGTGTGTGTGTGTATTTGTATGAGGGGTATGTTCATGTAAGTGCAGGTGCTCATGGAGGCCAGAAGAGGGCACCAGATTCTCTGCAGCTGTAGTTACAGGCCATTGTGAGCTGCCCAATGTGGGTGCTGGCAACTGAACCTGGGTTCTCTACAGGAGCGGTATGTACTTTTAACCACTGAGCCATCTCTTCGGCCCTGGCCCTGTCTTTTATAACCCACTGCTGTTGTTCTTCCTTGTCCTGCACCTCTGGTGTTAGGGATCAACAGAGGACCTCAGGGTCTACAACTTCTGTTCTTGTCACTATTATTGTTGTTGACATGGTTTTATGCAAGTATGTGTAAGACAGGGTCCCATTATTCAGCTTGGGCTGGTCTCTGTGTAGCCCAGGCTGGATCACACCAGGAGCCTCCTATATCAGCCTGTCCAGTGCTAAGACCGAGGCATGCTTTTATTCTCTGATTTTCCCTGCTTATACCTCCTAACTGATCACCAGCCACAAGTAACAGAAAAGACAGGAGGGTCAGGGAGGGAGAGAAGGGAAGGCTGCTGACCCTGGGCTCAAGCCAGATCTTGCTTACCTTTACTTGCCAATGCACCTGCTGCAGTGGCCTAACTGCAGGCTGCCCTCACACCTGAAGTCCCAGGAGAAGAAAGAACGAGTAGACACCCTTCCACAGCTGTCCCCAGCTCCAGGCACACGAAGAGACCTACCTGCCCGATGGTGCAGGTCTGTACTGGGTGCTATCTCTAGAGGAGCCGTGAAACTCTATTTGTGATACTTCACCCAGACCCAGTGGGAAAGATAGTCTAGAGCCCCTGGTCTCACTCAGTAGTACACAGTTTCCATATGAAGAATTTGTACTTGGCAGGTTGGGGAGGGTAGGACTTCCATACTACGGGAAATAAGCAAAGCAGCTAACACACACTGTTTTAAAAGGAAAACAAACTGTAGGCAGGAAGGGGAAGATACCAAGTTAGCTGTTAGTTGGGTTTGTTTCTAGGAAACCGAAGACTGGCGCTCTATGCAGGGACAGGGAAGAGGAAAGTCGACTTGTGTGGACAAAGACAGGCACCATCACCAGCTGCCCAGGTCACACTCAGGTAGTTTGGCGGGCAGTATCCTTTTTTGCAGGGCTAACAGGCACAGGGCACACAGTTAGAATGTCTCTGTTTGGACAATGGAGATATAATTTTATGAAGCCTGCTCTAAGGCCAGGGCCCAGTGTGACCTAAAAGAAGAAAATGAAGGGCCTGGCCAGTCCCCACTTGCAGGAACAACTGCTTTCTCACTAAGGGCAAGTGTACACTGCTGTGGGAGGGGACAGCTTGGGCACCCGCTGCACTGGTCTCCAGACCCTGTCTGTACCCCTAGCTTAAGCCTTTCTCAAGCAGGTGGCCCCTGTACTGCAAACAGCTTGTCACTTGGAAGTCCTACGGGACCCCTCTCCTGGCCTGACGTCAAGGGTGAGTTCTACATTTGGCTCACCGCATTTATCTGGAGGGCAGAAGTCCACATGTCTATTCCCGTCATTTCTTTGTAGCCTCACCTGCTCCATCCCTACCACACACACCTAGAGGCTTGATTCTGCACTTAAGGATGAAATGGTCCAACTGAGGCAAGCAGCTTGGGACCCTCTCTTCATGCACCCAGCTCAGGGCCAACTGCACAGATATGGTGGGAAAGGCACTCCCAAGCCACAGAGTGGACTGTAAGCGTGATACAGGCTCTCCTGGCTTGATTTCTTTGGCTCTGTTACTGTCATCTATATATTTATGCAAGAGGTCTCAGGCCATTTGTGAGGCACCATTACAGTATAAAAGCCCACCAAGCCTAGGACTGCCAAATTCCCAGGCCTGAGTAAGAGGGAGCCTCTCTGACTGGCCACATGCTGAGCCCTCTCTTAATGGTCCCCTCCTGAGCACACGCCACGATTACTGATGCTCATCCTGGAAAAACGAATACTGCCGAGAACTCCAGAGTCTGTGAGAGAAGGGAAAGACCCTCCCCTCGTGCCTGCAAACATCCCAGTCCACGAAGATCCGGGAGCGCAGGCTCAGTCAGGGAAGGTGTTTCTGGAGCTGGAAGTCTGGGGCCTTACGGAGACTCTGCGTAGACAGGAGGGGAGATTGGCACCCCCAGAACAAGTGAGTGATCTCTGTCCTGTCTGGTCACAAGGACTGGGCAGGTGGCAAGAGGAAGGTGCCGACTGTTACACAGTGAGGGGCTGGGGTGGGCAGCGAGCTCACTCAGCTATGGCTCCTCACCATTCCTTGGGTCATGAGCCAGCTGTCTATGGGCTGCAGGTCACAATCCCCACCTTTCCCTCTCTGCTGGGCCAAGGACAAAAGAGTCCCAAAAAGAAAAGTCACAGCAATACCCACAACAGGAAGTCACAGCACATATTGTAAATAGAAGAGTCATTGTTCAGATTTGGTAGTCTGTCACACAAGGAAACGTGCCTGGACGGATGCTTCCCACATGCCCTAGCATGCCCCCATCCCACCTGCCCGGAAAAGAGAAGGCAAACCCAATGCCGTGACCCTGGGGGATAACAGAATGTTCGACACCTGAGAGGTCATCCAGGCCCAATTCTTTGGATACAGTGCAATTGCTTCTACTCTTTTCTGACTTACTCTGCTTTTTTGTTTGTTCTTTTTTTCTCCTTTTTTTTTTTTTTTTTTTGGTCCATGTATCTTTTCTTAGATTCTTGACTTCAATGCTGAACTCAGCATGTTCTTTACTGCCTTGTTTGTTTGTTTTTGTTTTTGGAGACAGGATTTCTCTGTGTAGGCCTGGATGTCCTGGAACTCTCTCTGTAGACCAGGCTGGCCTTAAACTCAGAGATCCACCTGTCTCTGCTTCTGTAGTGCTGGGATTAAAGGCATGTGCCAGCACGCCCAGCTTTTTTATTTTTTTTAAAGATTTATTTATTTAATTTAGTTAATTCTTTTTAAACAGACAGGGTTTCTCTGTGTGGTCCTGGCTTCCCTGAAATTCACTTTGTAGACCAGGCTGGCCTCAAACTCCCAGAGACTGGCCTGCCTCTGCTCCAGAATGCTGGGATTAAAGGCGTGCACCATCACCAGCTCTTTATTGCCTTATGCTTTTGTGTTTGTTCATTTGTAGTGTTGCTGCTGATCCCAGAGCATCATGTACACTAGACAGGTGAGTTACACCTGCAGAACTCTTGCTTTAAAAAATGTATTTTTTTTATATGTGCATATGTACATGTACATTGGACATGCATGCCATTATGCAGGTGGAGGTCAGAACGCAACTTGTAGGAGTCAGTTCTCTTCCCACCATGTGGTTCTGAGGATGGAACTCGAGTCGTTAGGCTTGGCGGTAAGTGCCTTTCCCTGCTGAGTCATCTAGCCAGCCCCCTCTTGCTTCTTCACATCATAAAACTAGAGGTGGGCTCTTACTTGCAGAGGTGTGACTACACAACTTTCTCTCTAATTTCTTCTCAGTTCCAGGACAGCATGGCCCATGAAGGATCAAGGCAGCCTGCAGATGTGTTCACACATAGAGACACACATGACCATCCCATGTCCTGCCAGTCTTCCTTGCTGAGGCCCTTGCCCCAGTAACAACAGGAACAGCAATCTGCCTACTATCATTGGTAAATCTGCTGGAATCAGCAAGACCTTTGAAAACAGGGAGCCAGGCCAAGCCACGCATTCAAAGGGTGAGAAGTTGACCACGTCTCCTGGACTTGGACCCAGGCCTGGGCACTGATAATGGCATGAGTGGAGCAGGACACATGCTGGCATGATGGGGCAGGTCCTTGGTCCAATGCCGGGGGACAAGGCTGCTCCAGACTGGCGTGAGCCAGGAGGAAGGGTCGTCCTTGTCTTTACTGGACAGTACACTGGCAGGCCCCTGGTCTGGTTCTCTAATTCCTTTGCTGGGTTCAATGCAGAGATAGTTTAAGTAACGGGAGGCTTAAAGAGCAGAGGCTACTATGTGGATGGCGGATGTCACTGGAGGCCACTACTGTGTAATGGCAGGGTGGCATAGATGGGATCTTCTGCACCCCCTGGCAGTAAGTATAGGGAGGCATATGCCAGCTCAGAAAAGCAGTCCCCACCCTCGAGACCAAAGTTTTCCATTACGCTAGGCAGCTGTTGTGCTGTCCTCACCAGGCCCTTTGTACAGGGCCCACAGGAGGCTAAGATCCGATGTTCAGGAAGCAAAGGGCCCTTCCTTTTCTAGTGGATGGGTGGGCACAGCTCCCTTTCACTCCAGCCCAGCGGGTCCTGGGAGCCCTCTTCCTCCTTGCCAGGCAGACAGGCATACATTCCCATACATTTCCTAGTTGGGCTCAAAAGGAAAACATCTGCAAAAATGTATTAAATGCATAAGTCCTTCTGAAGTCTTCCATAAGCTGGCTGTGGCCTGAGACTCACAAAGATTTCATCCTTTATTTCAAAATGTTCTGACGCCTCGCTTAACTCTTTCCAAGCCCAGAGTGTGACAGGACACTCCACGCCACCTCACCCCTGGGAATGTACTACTCGGCTAGGCTGGCAGCCAGCTGGCTTAGTTCAGTATTTACTTCCCTTGAGAGGGTTATCATTTTATCAGTGCACTGCCCGCAGCCCAGAGGTGCTCTGTGGTGTCCTCTCCAGGCTGTCTCTGCCATTTATACAAGTCAACTGCTGCTGAATTATTCAACCAACTTTACCAAGCTGCCTGCCTTTGTATCCAGAAGACTGTGGGCACAGAACAGGCTTGCAGACCTACCATTTCTGAGCTCTGTTTCCGATTGTCTAGAGCAGAGGCAAGTCCTCCAACAGCCTGAGGATCCTCATAGGTGACCCTGGAGAAAACAGTGCAAATGAGCTCTCGCCCAGTGGATGCAGAGGTGTTGTGGTACCTGCCTCGTGCCTGCAGACTCCTGTCGTCTGTCTCCCAGCACCAGCTCACCCCTGGAGTCAGTCCTCTCAGACCTGGGCACCACACTTTTCAACAATCCCTGCCTTGAGTACTGGAGCTGAAGAGAAAAGTGTCTAAGTGTTCTGGAAGTCCTCAGAGGAAGAGGCTTCAGAAGGCCAAGTAATTATTTCACAAGCATCAGCCTCTCTGCTGCGCTGAGTGGATGGAGTGCTAGTTCCAGATGCAGGGGCTATCTGCTCTGGAACCGGCTCCCCCATTTCTATTTGGCTCATTTTGCCTCTGTCCTGACCTTTTTTCTCAATTGGTTAGGCGCTGGGAGTAGGTCTGGTTGCTGTTTGTAGGGGGAGGGGCTGAATGAGGCAGGGTCTGCAGCGTGGCAGATAGCTTAGGGAAGCAGGGTTTCTACTCAGCCCTGAGCAGGCTGTAGAAGAGAGAGAGAGAGCAATCCATGACTGACAGAACAGACAACCCTGGGGCAGAAGAGAAGGGGAGACGGGGCTGGTGCTCTCCAGGGCAGAGGAGAAGGGGAGATGGGGTTGGCACTCATTCAGTTTTAGAAGGTAACAAGTCCTCACCATTATAGTTTTAAGTTTCTCTAAGTCTTTTTTTTTGGGGGGGGGAGTGTTAAGACAGGGTATCTCTGTGTAGCCTTGGCTGTCCTGGAACTCACTCTGAAGACCAGGCTGGCCTCAAACTCACAGAGATCTATCTGCCTCTGCCTCCTGAGTGCTGGGATTAAAGATGTGTGACAATGTTGGCTCCAGAAGTCTTTAATTTGGTAAAGAAAAGGCGTCATCCTTTTTCAGTGTGACCAGCTGAGAAGACCCTCCCTCACCCCCACCCTGTATCTGCAGAAAGCCACTGGGAAAATCCCACATACGTCTTTCGCTGTTCAGCCAAGGAGTTCCCTCTGGTCTGGGCAAACATGTCGAAGCCATCATGAGGCTTACACTGTTGCAGTGAGCTGAGGGTGCCACTGACAGTCTCTGTTCCCAAGTCTGTGACAGCAAAACAAGAAGCAGGTGAGAACAAACATGGGCTTTAAAAACCCTGTAAAAATGTCGTATTATTGTACTGTATTATTACCATTCTCTCTGTGTGTACATGTGCGTGCGCGCGCGTGTGTGTGTGCATTGCAACTCAGATCATCAGGCTTGTATAGAAACTACCTTTATCCACTGAGCCATCAATCTTATTGGCCCCAAAATATGGGTTCTTAAAGGAGTTCCCCAAAAGTGAGGATGAGAGTCTAGTGGGTTAGACACTGTGAAGCTTCCCGGCTGTCCTCAGCACTCCCAGCACAGCACACATAAGAGCCAGGGCAAGCTAGGTGGGAAATAGGCTTTGCCCTGAATCTGAAACTGTTCACAGAGGGAAGGAGGCATCCTAGACAGAAGAGAGACTGCTGGCAGTGAGGGATGGGGACAAAGGACAGCATGCCCTCAGCTGTCTCACCACGCCCTTCTCGGGTGCCCCCACCACGTGCACTCCAAAACAAAGACTAAGGATCTCAGCCACCTATTTGATCTGGAAGCTATTTCCTAGGCACCCAGAGTCAGAGTTCAAGTACATCTGGTGGAATCAACATGGTCCTACGGCCTCGGGAGCTCACGTGTAACTGAACAGTTAGGAGGACCAACCCTTGCAATGTTTGGCTTTGACGCTGGGACAGGCTCAGAGGGGGTCCTTCAAGACAGACAAAGGCAGTGATTTGGAGAGCCAGGCTATGGGCAGTGTTAGCCCGTGAGAGGGCAGAGTGAAAGGCGTGGCTGGAAAGGGAGCTAAGAGGTGACCAGTGAGGTGAAGCAGTGGATGGAAGAGCATCAGGCCTTTTAAAGAAAGCAAAGCAGCAGAATCCACTTTAAACTTTAGGTATTAAATATGGGGACTTGAACCCAGCATGGTGGCTTACACTTGAATTCTTGGCACTTGGGAGATTGAGAGGCAGGAGGCTTGCTATGAACTCAAAACCAGTTTGGGCTACACATTGGGTTCCAGGCTGGCTCAGCAGGTAAAGGCACTTGTCACCAAGGCCTTTGATCTCTGACCAGTCCCTAAAACTCACACGGTGGAAAGAACCAATGCCCACAAGTTGTCCTTTGAACTCCATATGTGCAACATGACACAAGCGTGCAATGCACACAACACTAAATAAATCACTGTGATTAAAAACTTTAAAGCCATATACAAGACATGTATAAAAATATGTCATCAGCTATATCGAAGGCTAAGACATCTACTCTATTATGCATATATGGCTACAGAGGAAATTGAGACACCAAAGTCATAACAACTGACAGGCCACTGGATAAAGGTTTAATTCAACTGAAGTGAAATGAATATAGAATTATTTGGAAAAAAAACATAAAATTAAGGTAGAGGAAAGAATTTTGAAGGCCATGATGGTTAGTTATACCAATATCAGAATTTAATTTTGTATAACTTGGTATAACTGAAACATAGAGTCATTCATATAATTTCATTGTGGAAAAGTGAAGAGTTTCTCCTAAATTTCAGACAATAGAACACTTTAGGTTGATGGTATGGTCTGAGGTAGGCAAATATATCGCGTCTCCACTTTCTGTTTCCTAGTCCTGTGCAGACATTGTCAATCCATCACAGATTCTTCTTTTAGGGATTTATGTGTAACAGTTTTAACTGTCAACTTCACATATTCTAGAATCATCTGAATAGAGAATATCAATGAGGAATTCTCTGAATCAGGCTGGGACTGTGGTGCTTTTGTGGATGGTTGTTTTGATTGCATTAATGGAGACAGGAGGACCCACCCATCCTGAACAGTGATATTCCCTGGGTTTGGGCTCTGGACTGTCTAAATGCAGAGGGGAGCTGAGCATAAACAAGCATACATGCACTTAGTCTCTCTGCTCTTGACTGAGGATGTGACTAGCTGCATCAAGTTCCTGCCTTGACTTCCCTTCAGTGATGGACTGCCACCTGGAATGATGGGCCAAATCAACCTCCCCTACGGTGCTTTTTGTCAGGGTGTTTATTACAATAACAAATGAAACTAGAACAATGTGGCTTCAGCTGCCTTTCAAACCTGTGTTCTGAGCAGCCAGTGAGGTGAGACCAACTTGCCACCTTCAGCCTATTCAAGAGTTAAAAGAAATCATTTCAAGTACAAAGAATATTCCAGATAAAACACGGCAGGTTACTTGTCTTTTAAAAAGCAATTTCTACATCCTCAGAACTTCCTCCACCTCTACCTTCCCATAAGGGTTTGACTGTAAATTTTAGGAAAGGAGTTAGAAGTTGAAGGTGGTGCAGTTGGCTGGAACTTGGGTCACACCTTCACGTGGACTGCTCTAAAGGACCTCTGACATTGAACAAAGACAAAGGTATCCAGGAGGAGGCCAGAAAGAGGGAGACCCTTTCCTCCATTTAGGACACTCACCCAAGCCTGCGAGTTGGGAGGAGAGAGAAGATGGGGGTGCTGTGCTCCCTACCATGGGGCTCACCACAGCAGGGGAGCCAGGGCCCAGGTCTATTAGGTTGTCTTCAGTCACTTCACTCAGTACCTGTCAGGACACAAGATCGACAGAGGTCAGCCGTGGTCAAACTCCAGCTCCCCCGACGCAGATCTGTTCATGTCTGGCAGATGAAAGGTGGCTCTCTTTGCCTACCCGAAGGGCACACAGTGGGCCCAGGTTACCAGAGCCCCATGCCCTGCCCTCCTATACTCTCTTCTCACATAGGATAAAGTGAATCACTAGAATGGCGACTAATTTCTGTGGGTGTCTTCTGCTTTCCCACCAGTATGCCTGTTAGCTCTCCCCAGGCTCCCTTCAAACAGAATTTGCTCTGCAGTTACTCAAGAATTTGTGTTTAGTCCTAGTCAGGTAACCAGGAGCAAGGCCTGAGTAGGTAAGGCGTCTAATGTGTGCACTGGGTAGGCGCCCACCTCAGAAGACGAGGGAGCTATAAGGACACTTACTCCATTGCTGGCATTCTGAGCAGATCGGCCAGATCGGTACCTCTCGAACCTAATGGAAAGGAGAGCAGACGTAGGAGAACGTGAGTGAGGCCCAAATGGCTATGCTCACGGTCCTGAGAAGAACAATGCCATGCTTCCCTTGACACGGGGCTTCTGTCTTACAGGTTTGGCTCCACTGTCTCTCCCACAAACACCCTGAGCTGGCATCAGGGAAAGGGTATTGGCTGGTTCTTGGAGGAGCCCACCAGAAGCATCCTTAGTCGTCTCTTCATACATTTGGCCCCAATGCTCCTCCAGTCCCTGGAGGTGTTTGGGTCATTAGGTCTCCACATGGTCATTTGTGAAGCCTGGCAGCAAATGCAGCCTGATTCTGTTCCACAGAGCTCTTCTTGGGGTTATCAGCTTGTGGCTACAATGCCCCAAAGCCAACTTCAGGAAGGGACAGGGAGCCTGGAGAAAGGCCTTGCCAGAAAACATGAGACGGTTTGTGCCAACTTTCTAAGGGCTGCCAGGAAGGCAAGATGGAGTGGGCCCTGCCAGGCATGCCCTCCTCCACATCCAGTCAGCTCATGGCTGTGAATGGAGCTTAGCTGAGGGCGACTGCAGACAAACAACCCCTCTGCCGGAAGCTATCCTTCCACCTGGTAGGAGAGGCTGTGGGATATCCACAGTGGACAGCAGATCCTGTTCTGGGCTGTATTTAAATGACCCAGGTAAAGAGGAAGGCAACCAGCTGACTCCAGAGAAACCAGAGAACAGAAGGGCAGAAAGGCGCTGCTCTGGGCTGCCATCCACACTGAATGTCATCAGCAGCTAGGACAAGGGACAAGGGAAGAACAGTATGACTAAGAAGGTGTACAACTTATGGTTTGTTTGTTTGTTTGTTTGAGTTTTAGGGAGTTTATTATGGATGCCTAGGTGGGGCTTAATAGAGCAAAGAATTGTGTGGCAGGGAGGGGTGCTTTAGCTAAAGAGTGAAAACACTAAAGAACCAGAGAAAGCATACTTTGGCTCTGGTTAGCATCCAAATAAATAAATAAATAAGACAGAAAAGAAGAAAAAGGAAAAGTCACATCATTCTGTGTCAGTCTCGACTCAGGAAGGTGGGGAGACCTAAGCGAACCATGGAAGGTCACAGACCGTGTCATTAATTAATTAATTAATTAATTAATGTTTTTTAAGAGTTCTGTTAGATAGCCCAGGCTGGTCTGGAACTCGCTGTGTAGCCCAGGTTTGCCTTAAGAGTCTCTTCTATCTACCTCCTAAGTGCTGGGGTTACAGATCTATGTCATGGTATCTGGCTTCCACTGCAGCTTTAACTCCACCACTCAGTTGGAGGCCAGCCTGGTCTCCAAAGCAAGTTCAAGGACAGCCAGGACAAACAAACAAACAAAAAAAGAAACAGGAAAGCTGGGCGTTGGTGGTGCTTGCCTTTAATCCCAGCACTAGGGAGGCAGAGGTAGGTGGATCTCTGTGAGTTCGAGACTAGCCTGGTCTACAAGAGCTAGTTCCAGGACAGGCTCCAAAGCTACAGAGAAACCCTGTCTCGAAAAAAAAAAAAACAGGAAAAAAATTAAAAAGATTGATTACATGGGCATAGTGGTGTGTAAGTGTAATCCGAGAGAAGCTGGGGCAGGAAGATCAAGAGCTTGAAGCCAGTCTGGGATATAGAGAGAAAGAGAGACAGACAGACAGACAGAGAGACTCTGTTCTTTATACCCCCTTGAAAAAAAACAAAACAAAAATCCAATAAAAATAAATTAAATAATAAACTAACAAACCAGAAAGACGTGTGGTTACAACAGCGGTCTGTAGCGCCCATTGGTGCCTCTGAAGTCTTTCTACCTGCAGACCAATGGACTTACAGACGACCGTCCCACATTGGTCCTGCTATTCATCTCCAGTGAAGGTTTGAATGGACACAATGGGCTGGGAGTGTTGGGGTCCTCAAACTGGACACACTGCCAGCAAGCCCACACTCCTATAGCAATCTCTGTGTTCATCATAGATGGGCATAGGACCACCCATCCCTACAGCCTGGAGCTAAACCAGCTCTAGCAGTGATGCACAGTGTGGCCGTCTGAGCTTTCAAAGCATAGGCGAACACAGTGTCTGTCTCCTGTTCCTAATGACGTCAGATCATTGTCCTTCTGACAGTCCTACACAGAAAGCTGGCAGTTGGCAGAGGGAGTGGGCCACAGGCCTCCAAGGGACACACTGCTGTGGGCTCTTTTAAAGGAAAAGGCTAGCCTAGAGTCAAGGCAAGTCACAACCCTGGGCCAACTGGTAACTGCCCAAATCAGGGTCCAGATGGGAGGAAGCTGTTCTTGCCACCACCCACTTAAAGCTAGGTCCAGAAAACATGCTTTTGACTTAGTCCCGTGGGAGGCTTTGGAGAGAGAAAAAAAAGGTTCAAGTTTGTCACTTTAAGTGGTTTGGCTGTGGGAAGAATTGAAGGACTGTGTGTTTCCCTAGAGAAGCAGTGTTCACAGGCAGCCTACTTCACTCAATACCCCAGACGTACTGACATTTACAAAGGGAAAGATCTTTTTTCCTTTTTCAAGAACAGAAAGAAAGAGGAAATCCTTCTCTTTTGTAAAGGCTCCCCTCCCCCAGTCCTCTTCACATTCACAGGATCATCAAAGGTGCAGGTGCAGCCCCACCCCAGCCCTCCTGGGACTCACAAAGAGCAGAGGTGGATTCTGCAGTCAGCTACCTGCTGTCCTGTTCTCTGGAGAACAAGAGCACTGCTTCTGTCATCCAAGAACAAATGAGCATCTCTGATGAGCACTTTCCACCTCGAACACCTCCCAGGCTCTCTCAGCCTCCCTCCCCTCCTTTGTTTATAAAGGAGATTCCTCTGATGTGCCAATCATCTTTTTAAGGGAAAAGACCCCAAAGGACTCCGGCCCCACCTCTCATAGCGGAGGAAGACGTTGTTGAGGTCATCGTTGACGTGCAGCAACTCCTCGGTGACCTCCTCATTGGACACTCGGGAGATGAGTTCCACTATGCGGTGCTGCATGGCCCGGCAGGTCCTGTTCAATTCCTAGGAAACACATGCACCTCTGGCAGAGCCTACTGGGAATGCCGTCCTCACATTCTACTGCCTCTGAAAGGATGTGCACTGACTCCTGAACGTCGGGGAAGGAGTGCATGCTTGTTCATAAAACCAGGCGTGCACAGAATGTGAAGTAACAGCTCCCTGCTCTCCTGCCTCAGAGGAAGCAAGTACTTCTTCAGTAGATGGCGTGTGTGTGTGTGTGTGTGTGTGTGTGCGCGCGCGCGCGCGCGCACGTGTGTGTGTATACCTGTTAGTGTAAGTCATTTTTTAAAAGAATATGTTTGTGTAAATAAATTTGAAATCTATATGGAATACCTCTAAGGACACAATTTAATAGTTATTCTAGCAGACATATTCCTATAATGCCACTAAAAACAAAATAAGTAATTAAATCCATCACATACAGAAAAAAGCTTTGGTACAGTTTTATGACAGCGCATATTCAACCTAGAACAAATCTGGGTGGCTAAAATAATCCCACAATGCCCATTTGCTTTGTCTCTTGCCACTAAAGTACTCACCTATGTTTGGGTTCCAAAGTTAAGCCATCCATGTCTAGTGTTAAGGCTGTACCACATACTGTCCTGGCACCTCAGTGTCAGCTGACTTCAACAGCTAACTACAAATCATTTTTAAAGATTTTTATTTTATGTGTGTGTACCTGAGAGCATGCATGTACCCCACATGACTGACATGACTGCAGGTGCCCATGGAAGCCAAAAGACCATGCCGATCCCAGAAGAACTGGAGTTTCAGGCAGTTGTGAACTGCCCAATGTGGGAGCTGGCAATCGAACCTGAGTCCTCTGTAAGAGCTGCCAGTCGATCCTACTGCTGAACTACCTCTTGGGCCAGTAAAAATCATTTTTAAGGCAGAAAGATATAATTCTTTTTTTAAAGATTTATTTATTATGTATACAACATTCTGCCTCCATGTATGCCCACATGCCAGAAAAGGGCACCAGATCTCATTACAGATGGTTGTGAGCCACCATGTGGTTGCTGGGAAATGAACTCACGACCTCTGGAAGATCAGTCAGTGCTCCTAACCATTGGGCATCTCTCCAGCCCCGAAAGACATACTTCTTTGTGCCTTGCTTCTTCTTATCAACAAAAGTGGCTCTTTCATCCACTACTTTGTGCAGACCACCTCATTTCTCTGCTGTGTGTCACCCTGTCCAGAGCTCACTGTCCTGCTGCTGTTGGACACGTGGCTTGTGCTATCTCTGTCTTTGGCCAACCCAAACAATGAAGCAGCTCACACACATACTCATTCTTACACACTTGGGCAAGCACTTCCGCACCGTGAGATCCTCAGAAGCAGAATCTCTCTCTGAGTGAAAGTGACATCAGAGTTTACTGGCATCGCTAGCAGTGGCATGGCTGTACTTTACAACACTGGGTGCTTTGTGGTGGCGTGCCTGTTACCTGGCTGTGGCCTCAGAAGCGTCACAATTCTCGTAGAGCTTCTGTTGGCCCAAGCTGATACTTGCAGCCCTCAGTCACCATAGGAGCCCTCTCAACCTTTTAAAGCAAGAGCCCCTTAAGACAGACTCTGTACCTTACAGACTGGTTTAGAAGCTACCTTGCCCCACAGCAAGCTGCTAGCTAGGCTCTTGTTTGCAGAGATCCTTAAGCACCTGCTAGGCCCCTGCCTTCTTACATGCCAGACTGAGGATGAGGAAACGTGGCAGGTTTGTCAGGCTGGCCCCATGGGTCACCAGGGCCAAGGGAGAAGTGAAATGCTGCTCCTGGATACTGGGGGAGCTAATAGTCCAGTCAGCTAGGGGCAGAGACACTAGAGCTGGCCCACCTTTCTCACAGCTCCACCCCAGGAATACCTCAGACTCAGCAGGCACAGGCAATCTTTGCTTCTCTTTTTGCCATTAACCCACTGTCCTGGCTAGAAGATCTCTTTTCCCATTTCCCAGTACCAAGGCTGACCCATGGGGTAGACCTTCCAATGTTCCTAAGAGAATAAACAGACAAGGCAGGCAGCATTTCTCCAACCCACTCAGTACTTCAACTCCCAGTGCTGTGGGATTTGTATGACCTAGGCCTGGGCCGTGCTCTGCTTACCATAGTGCTCAGCCTCTGGGCTCCCTAGCACCCATCAGGGCACAAGGCCTGGCCCAAGTAGATCAGCCTGGAACCACTCACATGCAGCTGTATTTATCAAGCTATAAGAGACCTGGACTCATGAGGTAGCTGAGTGCATACAAGTCTGGTGTGTACCTAACAAAAAGAGTCCTTGAGATTCCTCCACCCTGGATCTGGCTTCCTTGCAGGACCTGTCATCTTCTGTCCAGCCAGAATAACTCTATCAGCTTCTTGGGCACCACATAAAAAAGCCCAATGTCTGTACTTCCAGATGTTTCTCTGGACAGACCCCTCCACGTGGCTCTCCTAAGTTTGGAAAAGGGAGTATGATCCCTGGAATAGGCTCTTCAGTAATGGCAGACCCTACCACACAGGCACAGGGGAAGAAAGCATGGCCCCGTCTAGTACTTATGGCTAAGCAGCAATCCTTGGCTGTCCTTGGTTAGGGAAAGATAAGGAAGAGTCAGTCAGCTCTCCTTCAAACTGTAGGCCAATGGTAAGGTAGAAGACCAGCATGTCAGGGAGTGCCATGGGCATGTTAGAAACGGTTCCAAGGCTCTCAGAGCCCATGGCATGGGTCATCTCCAAACATACCTCAGACTTTCAAGGATGGTGGCCTCACACACTCACCACACAGTTCAGGAACCGTGAGGAGCTGACCCTATGCCCAACAATGTTCTTTCTTTTCTGTTAAACACCCGGGCGGTGGTGGCGCACACCTTTAATTCCAGCACTTGGGAGGCAGAGGCAGGCGGATCTCTGTGAGTTCAAGACCAGCCTGGTCTACAAGAGCTAGTTCCAGGACAGGCTCCAAAACCACAGAGAAACCCTGTCTCAAAAAAAAAAAAAAAAAAAAAAACAAAAACAAAAACAAAAACAAACAAACAAACAAAAAACCACATCTTTCTGTTAAACACCTACTTATTCTTTAAGACCTCAGGGTATTTCCCTACCTCTGTAGGTCATCATATAAATTTTCAAAAATATAGCAAAGTAACAGGCATGGCACGTGCCTTTACAGCATTCAGGAGGCAAAGGCAGGTGGATCTCTCTGAGTTTGAGGCCAGCATGTTCTATATAGCAAGTTCCAGGACAGTTAGAGCTACATAGAGAGGCCCTGTCTAAAAAACAAGTATACAGGCACTGGAGAGGTGACTCAGCAGTGAAGAGCACTTGCTGTTCTTGTAGAGGACTTGGGTTCAGTTCTCAGAACTCATGTGGCAGCTCACAATCATTTGGCATTCATATAGTATATGCATGCAGGAAAAAACACACACATAAAATAAATCTATTTAAAAAATACATATATATATATATGTATAATTAAAGTACCGCCACGTATATTCTACAGTGTCAGCTTTGCCTTATAACTCTCATTATTTATCTCCCCACCCACTCGGGATGTTTTCAGACACTCTGGGAGACCCTCCTTTATAGTAATCACACAGCATTCCAGACTCTACAGAGCTCAGTTTAGAGGCTGGATTCTATTATTTTCAAAGCCATTAGGAAAGTGCTAGAGGACTTCTGAAGAACAAGACCAAAGGCACAGACAGGGCTCACAGACACCAGCACCAGAAGCACTGCTCTGACCTTTCTAGGTGGTGGCAAAGAGGGGTCTCTCTTTTCAGAGTCTCACAGGCACCATTGTGGAAGATGCCTCCAGGGCTGTCATAAGCACTCTGCCTAGAGACAGGATCCCCTGGCCTCCCCAGCCTTCTGACTTGGGGTCTCTGCATATCTACTGACTTCAACTTTCAAATCACTATCTCAAAAAAGGGTTAAAAAAAAGAGAGAGAGAGAGAGAGAGAGAGAGAGAGAGAGAGAGAGATGAAATCCCATATATGTAAAATGAAACCATTTCAAAGAATACACTAATAATCTAAAATTCATGTGTTATTAATCAGTGGCACATCTGTCTAATTCTAAAGTACAATGTGCATTTATTTATGGCTCATAACTGCCTGTAACTTCAGTTCCAAGGCACTGGAACGCCCACTCTTCTGAGACCAGGCACACACATAAGACACAGACAGACATGCAGGTAAAACACTTACACACATAAAATAAAATAAATAATCTTTAGGGAGGGTTGGGTTAGAAAGATGGTACTGCTCTTGCAGAGGACCTGAGTTCAGTTCCTAGCATACACAAAGGATAGTTCATAACCACATAATTCCCAGCTCCAGGAGATATGATGTCCTCTCCTGGTCTCTGTGGGCCCCTGCACTCACATGTACATACCCCCACAAGACACATAATTAAAAATAAAAAGTTAATCATTTTTAAAAAGAAAAAAAAAAGAGATGAACCAGAACCTTGGGGTTTCAGCCACCCGTGTCAGCTGGTCATCCGCATGACCTTCCTGGAGTCATTCACAACCACCACAGCAGGCTCAGTCCCCCTCCATTCCAAACCACGCAGAGGAATGACTGATTCTCCTCTGAGCCAGAGGCCCTTAAGCCAGCAACCTGCCCAGCCCCCCTTCCACTCTGCAGACTCTGGGCCAGGAATTCCTTCAATGCCAAAGACTTCTGCTTTGGCATCTTCCTATCTCTGATTCTCAGCAACCAGTCACTTCTGCAAACGCCTGCCGTCAGTCAGAACACTGTATCAAAAATCCTCTTCGCTGCCTCGTTAACACTGATGCCGTTATCTTCCCTTCAAGAGACAGTTCATCCCTACCTCACAAAACAATCCTTTTATCCTCTAAACCCTTTTCAAGTCAAAGGAGCAGAGAATCCAGTCTTGAAGGTTGGTGCTGTTGCAGCGGTGAAGGAGAAGGGAGGGAGGGAAGGTGTGCTGATGAGAGAGGGCAGACATGAAGCTAGACATTTGGAATATGCTAGACTTTCCAGAGAGAAATAATACCTTGGCCACTTTTTTCCTTTTTTTGAAAAGCTATGCAAAAAGATGCAAAACGCAAGTTTAAGCTACTTAAACGAACAGCACAGAGAAGGGGTTCTCTTTTCATTTGATAAAGACCTATAAAATAACTATCCCTGCATAGTTATTATTAATTGAAGATAACTTCAAGGGCTCAATTAGATCCCAATAAAATGTACTTAGTTTCAGCTAAGGGCTCATACTTTAGAAAGGACAACGATAGTTTTGCAACCTTGTTCAACCATGTGTGGGATGAAATGGCACAGCATGCCAGTGGTGGCACCTACCTTTAGTACTAGTACTTGGGGGGCAGAATCAGGCATGTCTGTGAGTTTGAGGCCAGCCTAATCTACAAAGAGCATTCCAGGCCAGCCAGGGTCACATGGTAAGACCGTCCCAAAACAAAGAACAAAAAGAAGGTGCAAGATGGCAATGGGGGACACATGATTCTTGGGATAGGCTGCCTGTTTCTATACAAGCGGGGTGTCAACAACACAGACCTCAGATAGTCTGTAGGCTTTCCAGCAATCCTTGGATACTTAAGGCTCTATCCATGTGGGAAAGGAATTTTCTCTGTGCTTTTGTCTAACACAGACCAAATTAAAGCTACAGGAAACAAATGAGTTCAATGTGCAGAAGGCTTTTCAGCAATGGTTACAGAAGCTATGATTTATAAAGGACATGCTCTGTGACAGTCACTTTCACAGGGTAAGCAAGCACTCCAGGCATCGAGGAAGGCAAAACAGGCATAGGAAGGAGCTGTGCTTTACCTGGAGTCCCCCAGATGTGCGTGCAGTCATTTGTAAGTTGTGTGCTCTACCCTGCTGTGCTCAGAGGCTAATCTAGATGCCTGTTTGAAACAAACAGGGCTTTTATGACAGCCAGAACAGCTTGTCACTAGATGTGAAGAAAAGTGATCCAAGACTCTGGAGAGGAAATCTGGGCATAGGTGTTGAGTTGGACTGGCTGTCTGGAAGATGTTGCTCAACTCAGAAAATGGAGGATCTAACACCCACCCTGAGAGATGCTGAGAGTCCCCTCCCAGCGTCTTACCTCTTTGGGGCCTCCAACAAAGCTAATGGCACTAAGTGTTACTGGTCTTGACCTTTCCTCAAAGACAGTCACTTTCTCAGGAATCCTCAGACAAGCAGTTCACAGGTTTCCCTATTGCTCTTATGGTTGTGGGAGGACATGCCCGAAAGAGCTTGGCCATAAGCAGGAAAAAACCGGAATGCAGCCTTCCCATAAGTACAGTTAGCCACAGGTGCATCTGGAGCCAGACCTTCAAGTCCCTCTTCTCCCACTCTCTGCACCTCTGTTATCCTTACACTCATGTCAAGAGCAGCTTGTATCTGTTGGTGGGAACATCTGGGCTGGTGACAAATGTGCTTATTTCCAGGGCCCTGGCAGCATTCTGAGCGCTGGTCTACTTCTGCCCTGAGCATTCTGGCTGTCCTCCATCTTTCCCTACAAGTCTTGGGGACAGATTCTGACCCTTCCATGTTCCAAGAGGACAGTGGCATTTTCCCATATGGAAGGCTCACTATTCTGTGGGAGCCACTGGCTGCTGGCTGCTGATTGCTGGGGCAGAAGAAGGGGGACATAAGGTAGTGGCCTCCAGCCAGGAAAAGTGAGTCTGTTCACACAGCTACCCGTTCCTGCCTCTTCTACACTGAAATGACAGCCTCCCGCAGGCACCCAGACACGGTCTTTTTCTGTTTGATTTATATGACAGCAGTGGGGACCAGTAGGCTCTAAGTTGGAACAAAACAAAATGAAGGAAAATGTCATTGGAAGCAACCTATTTTTGAAAACTGAGCTGATGCCAGGAGACTAGGTTCTGTTATTCTTAGCTGATGGGCTTGTTTAAACAAACAAACAAAATACCCTACAACCACACACACACACACACACACACACACACGCACGCACGCACACACACAAAATCACACAATTTCTGCCATCTGTTATGGCTGTCTGGAACCATCTTGGTATTGTTCAACCCACTGCCTACTGTCAGGAGCTCAGTTCCGTCCAGAGCAACAGCCCCCACCCGGCAGAAGAACCTCCAACACTGGCCCAGCACAGTACCACCACATCATCCTGGATTGGCCTCAGACTCTTATGCACCATGGGATACCTAGCAGTGCCCTCCTGCAGGCTAGGGGAGAGGCCAGTGTGGTCTATCAGAGGGAGGCAGACCCATGGAGTATAATATTTAGCTACCACCTGATGATCAGGAACCTGGTTTGCTGCAGGTGTCAGGAAGAAGTCTGGGAACCAGAGTGAGGTGCTCAGTGCTCCACACTAGGCCAGGCCAAAGACATTCATCTCAGCTTCAAGAGCAGCCTGATGTCCAGGTCCCTTAGAAGTGAGCAGTTTCCTTGCCTGTCTCCTGTACTTAGTTGGGAGCTCCCTAGAGCAGGCCCCATGTCTTCTATTGTCTATCACCCTCAGACTGACCTGGGTGTGGGACCAGGAGAAGGCCTCCACCCAGGCTTGTCCCATAGGCACTAAGGATTTGGAGTGGGTAGTGGGAACTCTAAGTAACAGAATTACTAGGCATCATATCACCAAAGTGCAGGACCATCAGAGCCTCGTTTCCCAGGTGGCCAGTGTGTGCATACAGCAGTGGGCGGACAAAACCTCCAGACAGAAATAGCAACAGTAGTAGCAGGTGTACCACGAGGCACTCAGGCCAGGCCATCAAGCCAGTATGACTCCTGATCTTTCATGCATTCATCTTCCTCTTGGAAGAGGAGCTGGTACTTGTAGTCCACAGGATCCTTTCTCTACCCTGAAGAGCAGTGCCACCGCCACTTTCCATATGGCAGTCGTTGCAGGCTAATGCGGTAGAGCTCTGCCACAGGCTCTGAGCCTCACAGGTTCTCAACTAACTAAAGGGTCAGACTGCAGCCTGGCTCGCTCCTGCCATTGTCAAAGGTGTGGCTCAGTCGGGGAGTGACTTGCCTAATATGCAGGCCCTGTGTCCCATCTCCAGCATCACCAACTACAGTGCCCAGAGTAGAGGCAGGGGGCTGGGGGAGTCGCTTCTTGGGAACCACAGTGTTCACACCCAGCCTGAGTGGTCTCAGCTGTGAGGCAGAGAACAGCAGTTCTGAATTTATCTCAGAATCTCCTATTTAGGTTGAGAGCCAACAGGCTTTCTCCATGCCATCGAGGCCAAAGGACTCTTATTCCAGGATGTTTATGACATAACAAGGGAGCAAAGCCACACACAAGACTGTATACACAGCATGACTCCAACTCAATGTAAAAATAAATGAATACAACAAAGAGTCTAACTGAAAATACATCAAAATGTAACTGGATTATTGCAGATGGCTAAAAGCTAAGGAAATTTATTTTTTTGTTTTGATAGGCACTGGTACTTTATAGTCAGGAAAAAGTTATTAAAGTAAAAATTTAAAATACAGAGAGCAACACTGTCTCATCTCTCAGAAGTAAGGCAGAACATGAGCCAACACAGACTTAAACCGTCTCTGCCACAGGGCCACCAGACTTGTCAACATGGTTGTGTGCCCAAGTACGGTCCTATCACAGTGCATAGTAGCGGCACAGCCAGGGCCCAGCCAGGTACTCAGCCCACGCTTCTAAGCTAAAGATATCCTCACCTGGAGCAGTTCCAGATCAGAAGAATCCTCCTGCCCGGGGACCATTTCTGTTAACATCTCAGACATGACTTTTGTGTTTCCCCGAACAATGTCCAGTTCACTGCGCAGCCTAGCAATCTGTAGATCAAGGAAAAGGCAGGAAGAAGGCCAGTCAGTCAGAGGGTCAGAACCAGCCAGTCCACGGCCTGAGACATCCCTGGGATCAACATCAACACCACAGGAGTGGCCTTCTTATCTCCCTTGCTCTGCCTATCGAGGGCTGGCAGTATGGTGAGAGCTGCATGAGAGAGCCAGGTCACTAGTGCTTTGGTCACTAACAGTCTGAGGTTGGTACCTCCCTGTCCATGGCCGCACATGAAGAACAATGTGCAGTGAATAACACCGGCGCAGAGGGGAGCTGAGTACTTTAACTTAACTAGGTTTCTATTTCTTCTCTCTGAAATCACTGTATGGTAGGTAGTGCAGGTGCTCCAAGATCCCTTTAGGGTGGAGTCCCTATTCTACATGACCCTCATGCTCACAGTCTGTCTCTGTCAGTGTCATACCCTAAGGGAGGCTGGCCAGTGCTCACATCATTCTTCTGATAAGAAAAGAATAGGTGAGGAGGGGGAGCAGACTCTTAAAAGCTCCCCACCCTGCCCAGTCATCAGCATCCACAAAGCCTGACCCTTCTCTCCTGCAGTTGGCACATGCTGTATATTGACTCCCTTTGCCCTTTTAGTTATCTCCAGGGAGCTCTTATTCTTTCAAGACATTAGTGGAAGCCACAGGGACCTTTCTGTCCACAGTGAGGCTTGTAAAAGCTGTATAGAAATGCCATCATTTTCTGGCAGGAGACCAATGAACACTTGACAAAGTTACAAGCTGCCTTGAGATATGTTCAGAGCCCTAGAAGATGCAGTGAGGAAAGGATACTACAGCAGTACCAATGTCCAGAGATAGACCAGCCCTTTCCCAGCCTATCCCCTCAACCATGGGAAGGCTGCTGTGAGACCTAACTTGTGCCTGGTACACCTGGTTCAATGCATGCAGCTGGCCACAGGCATGGCCTGTTCCTGTGGAGTCCTAGAGCTGGACAGAGTGGGTACTTTTCCTGCAGGAGGCCTATTCCAGACCCATACCTCCCTCTGACAGAAAGGCCTTCAACTTTACCTGGCTTGCCTGAATACACACATCCACTACCAGTCTCTCACAGCCTCTCCTGTGCTGCAGGACTCTCTCAGCAGACTTAGTTCTTCAGGGAAGGAACTGGAAAGAAACCCACCTTTACAGTCACCTGGGAGATGGTTTGGGCTCCAAAAGGCTCTTGCCAGCCTCTGCCTCACTTGGTTGGTTGGGGGGGGTGGTGGCCCCAGGGTCTCTTCAACATCTTGATTAAGGAGTTTCTACCACTGAAGCAGGCCAGGCTGGACAATGGCCTACATGCTCTAGCTTCCATTTTCCTCTTGAGGCAGGAGCCACAGTTCTCGGGGTTCCTATACTTCTTACCACTCAGGACCTCCTCTTGGCTATTCAGCTGTTGACATCCATCACACTGCAGTAAGCCAGTGCAAGGGCTTCTCTGCCATCCAGCTTGATACTTTTTGCTTCCTCTCAGGGAAAATCTAGAGCTCTGCCCAGGGAAGAAGGGCCGAGAGCCAAGACTTTCTACCCACAGGTCCCCTTTACAAGGCTCTGGCCCTGGGGATGTAGAGGGGCGGCATTCAGTGACCCAAGTCCCACTAAGAGCACTGACTCCACATTTCAGCAGTGGGATTAGAGCAGGCTCCAGGATTTGGTGGCCACACGGGACCATCTTTCTTCTGTGGCCTACTGAACTTAGCTATTCTACTGAGGCCTTACATGGAACAGCAGAATGTGGCTCACACCCTGGCCCGTGGGACTCCTTGCTTGCAATCTGCTTGCACCACATGCTTTCCCTAGCACTGGCAGAAGGACACAGCCCTAGCACACTACTGTCACTATAAACAACTGCCTGAACCCCTGTTTTAACAAGGTTCTGCAGCAATGGCGCTGAAATAAACAGAAACTACAAATACTGAGGAATATTTTCCCCTATTCTAAAATTTTAACTAATAGAAATTCTATGAATTCAACTAAAAATAGTCTCCATAATTTCTCCAAAAATAAGGTTTAGGAAATTTACACTGGCTTATGAGGAAGTGGCCCTCAGATGGGGCAAAGTCTAGACGGAGTTAGGAAGAGGCTTCTGGACAGCTTCCCTGCTCTAGCTGCTGCCTTCAGGGCACCTCATTAAGTATGAACTGTGAGGGCTGGCACATCTCATGGATCTGTGCTCACTTCCCCAAGTGCTGAAAGCCTATTCTCAGCTGTGCGCCTTTGCTCTGGACCTTGCTTCTGTCACTCCTTCCTGCCCAGCCTACACATTAACCTGCCCTGCAGACGGGCCACTGAGTGCTCCCTGGTATGCCACACCTCTGTGCTGTCTATGTCGATGAAAAACCCCAGGCCTACTCCAGAGTCCTCAGTGGCATAGGTCTTAGCTGCCTTCTTCTTCTTCTTTTTTTTTTTTGGTTTTTCGAGACAGGGTTTCTCTGTGGTTTTGGAGCCTGTCCTGGAACTAGCTCTTGTAGACCAGGCTGGTCTCGAACTCACAGAGATCCGCCTGCCTCTGCCTCCCAAGTGCTGGGATTAAAGGCGTGCGCCACCATTGCCCAGCCCCAGCTGCCTTCTATGCCGTGCTCAATCCTGGCTCACAGGATGCTCAGCTCTGCTTCCTATCACAGCAAGACCACGCACTAGGACAATGCCCGGGACTAGGCCCTTTCAGCTTTGTGTCCCCACACCTAGCACAGTACCTGGAAGTCCAGGGAGACGTCTGTTCCCTGGAAAGGTATGAAGGGGCAGTTGGCTGGCTCGGTTATGGCCTGGAAGCACACAAATACCTGTTCGGAATTGGCTGTGATGGGGCCAGTCACACTCAGGGCTGGAGCCTGAAGCATAGAGTAGGAGGCTGGAGAAGGTGAGGGGTAGGTGCCGGCACTTGTCCGGGGCTGCGACTGGGACCTGGGCACAGTGGCAGCTGGATCCATTTCTGGGACACTCTGGCATGACAATAACAACATTTGTTGGTTCACATGGGTGCCTAAGTGGCTTAGCCCGATACTGCCCCCAAACAGGTGGTACTTTCAGTTAGAATCCACAGACCCTCAGTATGTCTCTCAACCAGGACAGAAGAGGCATCATTGTCTCTTTCTTTCCCCCCCCCCTCTTCTTCCTGTTCACCCCCCAAAGAATATGCTGTAGGCAAACAATGCAACCCAAAAGGCCCCATAGAAAGCACTATGGGGGCATTCCAGTCACTGGATGTCATTAAGGCTGCCTCTAGATCAGAGTCCTTACTAAGTTCTGCTAATTAAGAATCCTTATTTGATACCACAGACTATATTGTGTGGCCTTTACAAGAAGACCAATATAAATAGCAACCATGCAATTTACTGAATGTTCTTGTACAATAACGCTTCCTTCTGTGCCAATAACGGAAGAATAAAACGGGTTATATTTTTACTACAAAGCATAGTAATCAGTTAAGAGGGATCATAACAAGAATAATGCTTTGGAAAATGTAATTCTTCATGCCTTGTACGCACTTAGTATCTCAGATATCCTCACCAGCATTAGCACATGTGTTCACACAAATGTGTAAGGCACACTGCCATCCGTAAGGTCCCATGTGAGAGACAGGCAGACGGAGAGCAGTAAGGCCATGTGAGCTGTCGCTGGTACCTCTTCAGACTGGGCTATCCTGCCTCTGCCCCCTGGACTGGGAGCTGCTACATAGCCAGTACAGAGCTAACTTTCCAGGAACCATGACTGACACTGCCAGCGTTCATCTAATCTGAGACACGGCCACTGTCAGCACTGAAAGAGGTTGGTTCTTCAGGATGCTTTAACACAGGCCTCTTCTGGGCTTTGTGTCCCAAAGCTGACAGAATTCAAGAATGCCTGGACTGAAGCTGAATATCCATAGATCAAAATACAGTTTAAATCCTTCTGACGGGGCTGAAATGTGGCTTAGTAATAGAATGTGTTCTTAGCATGCATGAGGTCCTGGCTCTATCTCCAACACCATATTAAAAGCAAAGAAGTTATCCACCTGATATATAGACTGTACTGTATACTGTGAGCTGCTCTTTGCCTCTGCTGAGTAAACATCAACCCTCCGTACACAGGAAATGAGGACAGATTCTCGCGCATGTTCTGCAGTCATCTGTAAAGCATGTGTTAATGACCCTTACAGGATGGCTCAGCCAAAGCAGCCATTTCCATGAAAACCACTGAACTGAGCCTTCGATCATATCACTCCACTGTCGGTGTGAAACTGGGAGAGATACTGCTGCCACTTAATCACCAGTCACCCAGCTGTCTCCATCTGCATCCTCCTTGTTATGAAAAAGAAATGCCCTGGAGCTTTAAGAACACATGACAAGCTGAATAATGCAAAGGCATCAGCAAAAGGCTGGTACAATGCTTGGCTGTTCTGCAGGCAGCCTTTCTAGAAAACACTAGCTGGAAGCTTACCCGCTGGGGTGTGTGGATAGGAGACAGAGCATCCAAGTCTGCCATGGGAAATTCAACTCCCTTCCTCTTCAGTTCTTCATATATGTGCACAACGCCAGTGAGGTCAGGACTGCTCCTAAAGGCATCTGCCCACGCCTGAGAGGAGAGAGGAAGGCCTGTCAAGAAATGGAAGTGGACTTTCCATGGGGTGGCAAGGGGCCAAAAAGTCAGCCCAACCCTCTCTGGGGCTGGTGCTGCCCTACATGCCCACGCAAGGCACACTGGCAAATCCTATTCTGCACCTCTCCTGCAATCCTGTGATACAGCTGTTGAAGCCCTGGCTTTCAGTGATGCTGTTGAATGTGAACAAACTCATAAAACTTAATTCAGCAAGTCCCTTCTAAGAGAAGTGGGAGAGAAATAACACCTAAGTACCTTGCATACTTTGTGATGCAGGCATTTGTCTCGTCTCAAGGGAATCAACTGCTAGAGCTGTTGAACTGAGGGACGTGGAAGACTTAGTTTTCAATGCCTCACAGTTGGATGCGCGCACACACACACACGCACACACACATGCACACACGTAGAAGCCATAGGCAAACTGGACAGATAGAAAAGGAGAAACTGATGCGTGATGAGACATCAAGGCTGAATCCAGTTTTCCTCAGCAGATCAGTCAGTGGCCCAGTCCTGTCACTAACAGGCGAGATGATTTCAGGCTAGGGGCACAAGAGTCCATGGGGAGCCAGACCATGGCCAGTGGCTGGGACTCACCCCACCTCCCAGGAGTCTTGTATCAACCTGATGTTTTTCTATTAAGTTGTATAGCTGACAGTTCCAACACACATCTGACCCCACACAGAAATGGAATGGGAAGTACCACCAGCAGATTCTCTCGACTGGAAAGAGTACAAAAAGGAACAACAGAATTGTGAATAGGTTGCCATTTCTGGTGACACACCAACTTCTTAATGATTACAAAATAAAATCTGTTTTCTGGAAGTTATTGAAGAATCATATCCAGAAACTATCCAACAGGCTCTTCAGAAACAGGGTCCCCAGCGCCACCCCTTTACTACACGACTGTACCCAATGGAGGAGATGCGACCTTTTAGAGTATGTCACCGTCACTGCATCTAATGGTCTACAGCCACAAGCTCCAACTAATCCTGAGGCAGCCACAGAAATTCTATCTCTAACTGCCAGAGCCACTAGAAGTTAAAAGGCCATTTTCCTTAAAGCTTCCTTAATCATATGCAAAGCATTTCATTCACTATAAACAACACCGTCAGCCTGGCTGTCTCTCCTCGATGCACTTATTTAACATGCACACTCGGGGATTTTACATCACCCTGGCACCAGGACAGCCTACCTCTGCCAATCTTTTCTTCTATATCTGAAGGTACCTACAGAAGCTGTCAGCAAGATCCAGCTGGAGACCCACGCAGCCTCATCGCCTTGGTCTGTCCTATTCCTCATGAAGTCCATTTCCACCAACTGCTCTTGCTCCACCCTAATCAAAATCCAGCTTAGGGATCAAACTTGAGAGTCTGGGGGCTAGTGGGACAGCACTTGCCTAGTATGCATCAGCCCCAGGTTCTATGCCCAGCTTGATAATAAGAAATAATAAAAATAAATAACTTGGGGGCTGGAGAGATGGCTCAGTGGTTAAGGGCATTGCCTGCTTTTCCAAAGGTCCTGAGTTCAATTCCCGGCAACCACATGGTGGCTCACAGCCATCTGTAATGAGGTCTGGTGCCTTTTTCTGGCCTGCAGGCATACATGCAGACAGAATATTATATACATAATAAGTAAATAAATAAATATTAAAAAAAAAAAACTTGGGCAGGGGGTGGGGGTGGTGTACACCTTTAATCCCAGCATTTGGAGGCAGAAACAGGTAGATCTGTGAGTTCAAGACCAACCTGATCTAGAGAGCAAGTTCCAGGATGCCCAAGAATACACAGAGAACCCCTTTCTTGAAAAATCAAAATAAATAAATAAAAACAGAAATAAATACATAACTAAACTTAAGGGGTCTAAAAACTATCCTCACTGTCTACTGGGAGGGCTTGGTAGCTTTTCTTGGTGCCACTTTCTGCCTCTGTTCTCATGGAGAAACAAATGGCTCTGGGGACCTCCTTACTGTTCCCTTGCTCCAACCCATATCCAAGTTTGAGAGGATGAGAAAAAGATCACAAAACCATGCTGTTCTCTCTAGGTAGACACTCCTCAGGACTCCTCCCAGATTCAGACACACTCAGGAGCTATGGCTGCTCTCGGGGACAGAGTCACATCCCAATGTGGGACTATCAGGTTCTCCTGCCAAGAGCTCAGCCCTGGACATAACAGGGAGGGTCCTTCTCTTTGTGTAAGAAGACTGTCCTCTGTGAACGTATGCCTGATAGGAGGACCAGGGACCAGGGACCAGGAACAGCTCACATTCTGGAAGGAGCAGTTGCTATGCCGAGTGGTGTGCAGAGAGATGGGAAGGTTTCCTGACCCCTTCTGTCACTCCCCAGGTCCAGTCATACCCTGACCAGGGTGACCTGGGCTTCTAGGAAGTCCTGCTTTGTCGTGACAAACTCTCCTGGGTAGCTAGGAGAGCAGAGTTGACATTAATTTGCAGACAAGAAGCCTTTGTTAATAATAACCCTCTTCCCACCTGCCACAATGCCAGCTCCTGTCTAGGACCCCTGGGCAGCCTGGGCCAGGCTGATGAAAACAAAGCATCCGCTCACAACAGTCACCTCCCTTGAGTAAGAGTCTGATGCCAACAGAGGGGCCAACAGGGAGAAGGGACACATTTTAAAGGAACAGGTATATGTGAGGACATGCAGATGGGAGAAATTATAGCTGTGACATGTTCCAGAACCTTCTGGGGACACGCCTGAATGACTGCTCTCATCCCCCGACCAGGTCAGACATCTTTTAAGGCACACACAGGTCTCTTGCCCTTGTACATACAAGGCCGTCAGCTGAATAGCTGTCAGGCTAAACTTAATTGAGTTCTCACAGCCACTAACCGTCCTTATTTTCCTACTTCGGAGAACAGAGGGAACATGGCCACGGAGGCTGTCAGAAGACTAACATGCCCATGATAAAGTAGGGCCCCTGCTGCAGGCAGAACCGAAAAACCCTCCTTGGGGAGCTGAGGCTAGTTTTGGGAGGTCTTAGTTACTCTGAACCTAAGCTGAGGCCCATGATCAATAGAAGAGAGGGTAGAAGCAGGATGATTCCCATGTGACTGCCTTATCAGGAAGAAGGCTCCTGGGAGATGTAGTTCTGGCATTCTCTCAGGGTCTCTGCCCCCAGTGCTGGTTAGTCAGTGGCATAGTGGCCACTCCACTAGAAGCAAGCTCTCTATGTAATTCCCTTTCCCTGTCTGTGGCTTCGGAATTTGGAGGCTGAAAGACCCAAAGGTGGGACCCATGGGAAGACAAAGGTCAATTTGTGCTTTAACTTTGTGTGTCTAACTACATTCTGTCCAAGGTTTTGAGTAGCAACTTTCATAGCAAGACATATAAACACTGATTTGAACCAGGGGTCCTGGGATACCCCTGGGCAAAGGGAGGCTCTGTCCTCTTCTGTTCATGCCTCCAGCACACACTTTCTGTTCCCACCACACCTGGTTTTTCTGCTTACTTTTTAAAAGTTACTGCACCAGCCCAAGGTTAGAAGCAGTGTAGTAGGACCTAGGGGAACTAGGGTTAGGGAAGTAGTGAACCGATGGGAAAGCTATGAGGTCAGGGCAGGCATGAAGAAACAGACATCTCTGGACAGAGAACTGTGACCCAGCTAGTGAAGAGGGTTCTGTCTGCCCTCAGCAGATCATACCAAGCTAGCTGTGTTTACCCTGGAGCCTGGCCAGGCCTCAGGGTGAGCAAGCTCTCCTCACTGAAGATGTCTCCTTCCAGTTCTGTAGACAGTGTAGACCTTGTAGAAACCAGACCACAAATAAAGAGTTTTAGCTGCAGTGTCCCACCTTTGTAAGAAAAGCTACCATTCATTTCCCTGGGAGTCTCTAGTCCCAGGAGAGGTTGTGGGAGTCGATGTGGAACTGCAGGTCTGGGGGTGCAGAATGGGAGCACAGGGAGGGGATGTAGACTACAGGTCTGGGGGTGGGGTGCAGAATGGTGCACAGGGAGGGGATGTAGACTGCAGGTCTGAGGGGTACAGAATGGTGCACAGGGAGGGGGTGTAGACTGCAGGTCTGAGGGGTACAGAATGGTGCACAGGGAGGGGATGTAGACTGCAGGTCTGGAGGTGGGGTGCAGATCAAGGAAGCATGAAAGAGGACTCTGTTACCCAGATTCTTGCCTATTCTCTCAGCCCAGTGAGCTACATTTATCCACTAATCTAAAAAAATATTATTCAATACTGACAATCATCTGGTCTAGATCTTCAGGACACAGCATTCCAGGGCTCTCAAGGAACCAACTGAGTTGAAGAGAAAAGATAGCACAGCTGCACTTAAGGTCACAAGGGGATGTGAATAAGACAGCCAACATGTGTGTTTCAGGATGGGTGCTAGGAGTCTCTGGGGGCACATCTGAACAGCTAGGAAGAGTAACTGCTCTAGGAGCTGGGGAAACTCTCTAGACAGAGCAACAAGCTCCACTCCAGTCTCATATACAATGACCCTACAGCTCCCGGGCCATTCCCTGCCTACTCTGCTTGTCTGCCAGACCTTCAAGCCAGGCTATGAGCCACTGCCCCTGTTGGAGTCATGTCCTGTTCTGACTTGGTCTCCCTCTCTTCTTGGCTCTTGCAGACAAGCATTAGTCATCCATACTGGATGTACTTATGGATCCAGATGTCATGCCAGTGGGGTGCTTTATTCTGTGTACGACCCAGAACAGAAACTTTCAATGGCTCCCCCATTACCTCTAAGGATCAAATCCAAGGCCCTCAGCACACACAACCCATAAGCCTTATCCATCTTTTGGCCTCATTTCCTGCCTATCCGTTCCCCTTAAGCACAGCCCTGGATATTCTAAACTACACCCTGTTCTCCAAACACACAATATTCAAAATATGCTCACATATTAATTCCCCAATTCTTGCATCTTAACCTGGTGACTCCTTTCAAACAAACAGCATGACAGAAAAGGTGCTGTGTGACTTCTAAGTGTTGAGAAACACAAGTCTCTTGTCATATCATCAAGGAACCGAAGCTTCCTCCCACCAGCTATGTTAGGGCACCATCTTGGAAATGGAGTACTCAGTCCAGTAGTGCCTTCAAAGGGTACATTTATAATCTCCCAATCAGACTGCACCTGAGTGCCTGCTCTACAGAAACCAGGGGAAAGGTACCATTCTTGTTGTAAGATGTTAGACTTTGGCTGATTTGTACGAAGTCTATAATATCAAATATTTGGGTATGAATAACTATAATGATATTTTTGTTTAAAATCTAACAAATAAGGCTTGCCTGAAGATCAGAGTGCAGAGCTTAGCCACTAGTTAGCCATAGAGACCAGGCGGTGGTGGCTCACACCCTTAATCCCAGCACTTGGGAGGTGGAGACAGGCTGGGCAGGAGGAGACAAGAGCTCAGATGTAGTCTGACGATTTGTAGAGGCAGAATAGCCGCTTTGGTCTTAGCATTGGTAGAGGTAAGAACTCTAGTGGCTGGCTGCTCTGCTTCTCTGATCTCTCAGCATTAATCCATATATCTGACTCCAGGATTTTATTATTAAGAGCAATTAGAATTCGTGCTACAGATAACTGTTGTCTGATGCTTCGGGGACTTGGCGCAGATATCTCCTTCCTGAGATGCTTCCTACACTCTGGCCTTCCCAGCAAACTCCTCCCCGCTTTTCAGGGTCCAGCAGAAATGTCACCTCTTCATTGAAACATCCCTTAACGTCATTTCTACTGGAGCTGGCTCTTGCTCTGTGACCTGACTAACATGCACATGACTCTAACATGACCCTACCTACTCTGCTTATCCCCACTATATCCCATGACCACAGAGGCCTGCTGAAGCCCTCTCTGAGCCCACTTAGAAACTTCCTGGAGAATCTGTCAAATATCAAGAGAGCCATTGCTCAGGATTTCCAGTAAGATGATGATAAGGAAAGCAAGCATTTTGTAACAAATATTTAAACCTCCAATCTGTGTCTTTCCCTCCAAAATAGTGGGAACACATGAACATGATCACAGTTCCCATCTTACACACAACAAAACGGGTGAGGGAAGCCAGCTCACCTGAATTAGAGCAAGCACTTTGTCCTGGACGATAGTGGGAGGGTTATTCTTGGGAGAGATAATTTTGACCAGAACGCTGTCGATGAAGTCTCGGTTGGCTACGAGGAGGTGAAAGCGGTGGCCACAGTTCTTCACACAAGTCTCCAGCACCTGAAGTTGTGGGGGTTGGGGGGAGGTCACCACACTGGGAAAGCGGAAGGGTGGCTGAGTTCCCCCTGTCAGTCATGCTTCCAGATCAGCTTCTTGTTACATCCCTCTAAGCCAACCCTCACACATCTCCGCACTAATTCAGTCGGATCCCCGTTCCTTGAGAACGACAGTGCTGTGATGACTAAAAGCTCCAGACCCTGCACAGTACTCAGGCAATTAGTCGGTAACTGAAACACGGGTTTCGCATGAGAAGGATATTGGTCTTCTAATGGTATCAAAATGACTGAGAGGTTCCTGAAAATTAACATTTTAATTAATTTCTCTAGGCCTGGGTGTGAAATCTTAGCCAACGAGACAAAGGTTCTGTCATAAGAGGAAGTTGCTGGGAGAGCTCAAATTGCCTGGTACACGTGAGGAAACAAACACACATCCCTAACAAACTCCTGTTCTGCAAATAAATCAACAATGACAATGGACTGCAACCCTTGACAATGTGGGCCGCGGCTGCCATCCTTCTTTAGGGAGAACCCTGCTCACTCCTCTCATATCTGGGGAGGTCAGTTGCTTTGAAAGGCTGACAGGTTCTGATCAGGTGGCAGTGAGAGTTAGACTTAGCTTTGCTACTTCCTCCCTGATGGTCCAGGACAAGTTTTACTCAGTCTCTGAGTCCTCAGCAGGAAAGTGGAAGCAATGAGCTCTTCCTTGCAGGGAAGATTAAGGAGGACAGATGCCAGCCAATCACTTTGGCATCCTGTACAGGGTAAGTAACCTGCTGCATCCATAGCTTCTTGCATGTCCCCAGGAGAGCACTGGGAGTACTGGGAGAGCCTCTCCAACATCAAACACAAGTCTCTTACTTGGTCCCTCCCGAAAACAGCCCACAGGATCACCTGACCCTTCCCAAGGCACCTCCTCCAGAGTACACTAACGATTGCCTCCTATAGGGATAGTGGCAGCAACTGGGGATACTTCTAACCACCTCATTGTTCCCATGTGACCGTGAATTAGCTCCCTAAGTGGTTCCTACCATAGGCTTTTGCCTTGAAAATGTGCAGACAAAAAGGTTCACAATTAACAACATAGACTTCGTGCCAGCTACATACCAAGTACAGTGAGATCCCTGCATACTCTATGTAATTTCATTCTACTCTTAAAACTACAATGGTCCTTTCAAGTACACCTTGCTGCCTTATTTTTCAAAGCTAAGAGGCTTAGGAAGGAAGAAGTGGCCCAGAGGCAGGATGGGAACTCTTTTCCTTCTTTTGCAATGCAAGAGATTGAACCCATGATCTTGTGCATCTAGGCAAGCACTCTACCACTAAGTCACACCCCGAGCCCAGGACAGGAACTCTGATTCACCTTCTTAGGAGCCCTGATCTCCTGACCCACCTGAGGACACCAAGTCACTCCTCCTTTGAGCTCTCTACCAAGCAGTCACATCAGCTGTGATGCCCTCAGGCACAAGAACTGTGTTCTGAATTATTTGTCCTTCTCTTGTTCCTTGAGCTAACTCTGGAAGAAGGCATCAAGCCATTTTGAGATGTCAGAGTCAAAGCTCTTCAGTACTGTGGAACTTCACCTAGGAGACCTAGCAGCTCTGCCACCCCCAAGTTACCCTTTCCTTCTTTTTCTTGCTATACTTCTGCAGGCTCCATGTTCTACTTGCTGCACCCAGGAACTGTTCTAAACTCATAGTCCTTGGGGCTTCTGCACACTGCTATTTATTTTTATCTCATGTGTGTGGGTGTTTTGCCTGCATGCATGTCTGTGCACCAAGTGTGTGCAGTGCTTGTGGGGGCCAGAAGAAGACACTGGATTCTCTGAAGTTGGAGTTAAAGATGGTTGTGAGCCACTGTGAGGATGCTGGGGACCAAATTCAGGTCCTCCCTAAGAGCAGTCAGTACTCTTAACTGCTGAACCATCTCTCCAGCCCCACAACCACAAATTGTATTCAGCTAAAGGGAATTTCCCTTTCTTAATTTCTGATTGTGTCTGATTCTGGGTGACCACGAGGTGAAAGTTCTCATTCTCAGGGACCCAGGGGACTAGTAAAAGGAACTAAAGGGGTTCTTTCTGTCCCCAGGCATGTTGCAGAGGACCTTCTTCTCTAGGATTCTCCACTCACTCTCTGGACTCTGGCAATGGCTGCTGGGCTGCCGAACCCCTCTTTCCCAAGGGGCAGGTGAGGACCAGCAGAGTCGGCCTGCTGGGCTGCTGAGCCCTTCTTTCCCGAGGGGCAGGTGAGGACCAGCAGAGTGGGAGGCTCAGGAAGCTAGCCTGGGTGAAAGTAACTAGAAACAGAGGAGCAGGCCAAAGTCAACCCTGGGCTCTGGTTCTGTTTCCAGGGAGACCATGGACAGAGCACTCATCTCTCCTTCAGTTCTCCCATACAGCAGACCTTAAGGTCAGGGTATCCTGTCCCAGCTTCCAAAAATGCCCAAAGCTTCTATATATAGGAGGCACAGGAATTCCTCTCTGTCAAGGCCACTTCAGGCTACCCTAACAAAAAGGCTCTTGGCAAACGTGACTTTGTAGGTTTTGGGGAATGAAACACAGTGGCAACTATCTGAGATACAGCCAAAACCCATGGAATAAGCAAGGGGGGCTCCCAGCAATGAGAAGCAGATGTTAGGAACACACATGTGAAGGCTCAAGCAGAGAGGGCCTTGGGATCTCTAACTCCATTGGATAAATACTAGCAGCTAGGCAGGGACAGATGTGGAGCTGCGAAAGGGCCACACGGAAGGAACAGGGCTGACAGCAGCTAACAAGTGAAGCCATCATGGCAAACATAAAACCATACCAGTGTGCCAGGCAGGGACCTAGGAACAAGGACAACAGCTCTGCATGTCCACAGGCCTTCCAAGGGGCTTGCAGAAAAGACCCGGCCATCAGGAAGACCAAATGATGGCTGCCAAGCAATGCAGAAGGAGGCAAGGAAATGTAATCACTCTAGAAAGCTTCCCACCAGCCAGGCGGAGGTCGTGCACTTAGGGGCAGTGGTGACAGGTGAATAGCTGTGAGTTTGAGGCCAGCCTGGTCTACAAAGTGAGTTCTGGGACAATCAGAGCTGTCTTGAAACCTGAGAAACTCTCTGTCTTGAAAAACAAAAAAAAAAAAAGAAGAAGAAAAGAAAGGAAGGAAGGAAAGAAGGGAGGGAGGGAAGAAGGGAGAGAGGGAGGGAGAGAGAAGAAAGAAAGAAAGAAAGAAAGAAAGAAAGAAAGGAAGGAAGGAAGGAAGGAAGGGAGGGAGGGAGGGAGGGAGGGAGGGAGGGAGGGAGAGAGAGAAGAAAGAAAGAAAGAAAGAAAGAAAGAAAGAAAGAAAGAAAGAAAGAAAGAAAGAAAGAAAGGAAGGAAGGAAGGAAGGAAGGAAGGAAGAAGCTCCTCATGGTTACCATGAAACTGGCATGAAGAGTGACAAATCCCAGAGCTGGCTCCCCAGTGACACATTCTTGGCTCCATCAATGTTGAAGATTAAAAAAAAAGCTTTCACCTATTTCTGACCTGACATTTTCTTCTTCTTCTTTGCTATGTAAACCCCTAAGCCCCAGCCCTGGCGGAGAAAGTGTTCCCATTAAGTGTTGAACTTTATTTGGGGGCAGACGAAAATCACAACAGCTCTTCTGCTTCACAACAAAACATGTTATTTGGGGTAAATAACCCACTTTCCCCACCTACAGGAGCTGACATGGTGACTTGTTACAGTTTCTAATCAAAAGTCACTGTGGCCCAGATTTTAAGGCATCTGAGAAACTGTGAGCTTTCAAGACAGAAATAGCACCTGAAATACCCTTTTTAGTCCTCTGTATCTTAAGGAGGAGCACAGTTCTTATCTATTTGCCCTGAAAGGAGTCACTTGGCTGACTTTTTCAAGACCCTTTGTATTATTTTCATTTTTATCCTAAACAAAAGACCATTCTAGGATGGCACACCACAGCTGTGAAGGTAAAACTCAAAGGCCTCTCAGAGCCCAGTCTCCTCCACTGTGAGAGTAAAGAACCCACTTTAGAAGGGGGCTGCAAGCATCTCATCAATGTTCTAAAAGCTCCATCCTGGGCAGGTGGTGGGCAGATAAGAGTGAACATCTGTATAAAGGGGAAACACTCCCAGAATCTCAAACAGGCTGACAGCAGGAACGAGGCCTGCCCTGGTCTTCTATTCATTGTTGCTGGGTACAACCACGCTATCCACACCTTATCTTCTCCTAGTATACATCAGCCTGTTTACACTCGCCTTCTGCATCAGAGGTGGGCAGGGGATCCCAAGGGTCTCTTGGGAGATGCTGCTAAACCAGACAACACGGGCTACATGCTGAAGTCCGTCTGAGTGGGCGGGGGGCGGGGGTGTCCTAGGAAGAGTGAAGCCTGTGTGTGCGTATCCTAAGCTTCCCTCCCAGGAGACAATACTCACCGTCAGGGCCAACATCACTTCTCTGTAGTTCCGGTTCCCGCTGAGCCGCTTCTTTAGTGCTCGAATGGCATCCTTTGGCCTGGTGAAAAGGACAGATACACCATGTTCCACAAGCCTTGTGGGGCACTAGTGCAGTGCAAACCAGCAGAGGTAACAAGGTTGTTCACGGCAGCATGTTTGTAAACGAAAAAGACTGTAGAAAAACAAGTGTCTACAAAAGGAAATGGGGCTAATTACATCATGGCTTTTATGCAGCTGCAAAAAAGAATAAAGAAACTTCTTGTATATTTTTATGGACAAAACTCAAAAGACATATGCATAAGAATAAACAGAATCAAGGACTAAAATCACATGATTGTCTCAATGGATGAAAAAAAAAGCCTTTGACAGAAATTTAGCATCTTTGTGTAGAAAAAGCTCTGAAGAAGCAGGAATAAAGGCTGTATATGTAATAAATCTACACACAACATCTTACAGAACAGGGAAAACCAGAAAGCATTTCCTCTAAAATCAGCATTGAGATAAAGAAGTCTACACTCTCTGGACTCATTCAGTATAGTACCTGGAGTCTCAAAAAGAAACAAACAAGATACAAACAGGAAAGGAGTAAGTCAGATTATCTTCTTTGTAGATGATATGATCTTATATATAAAATCCTGGGCCAGGTGTGGTGGAACACACCTTTAATCCCAGCAACTGGGAAGCAGAGGCAGGTGGATCTCTGTCAGTTGGAGGCTATCCTGGTTTACATAGTGAGTTCTAAGCCAGCCTCGGATACATAGTGAGACCCTGTCTCAAAAACTAAAAGAACCCTGAAGATTGCCAGAAAACTCTTAGATCTGATAACACTTTTAGTAAAGCATCAGCTACAAAATTAACATTTAAAAAATTGTGGTAAAGCAATGGTGAACATGCTAAAAAGAAATACGACAATTCTACTCCCAGTAACAGAAATAGTTCTAACAAATGCACAAGATCTCTATAATAAAAATACTGAAGGGAGAAAAATTAAAGAAGACAATAAAAGATGGAAAGAACTCCCATGATCAATTATTGTCAGAATTAAAATTGTGGAAAAGGCTATATTGTCTAAAAAAAAAATCGATAAATTCAATGTAATCCTGATCAAAATTCCAATAATATTCTCTGCAGAAACAGAAAAAAGTGACCTTAAGAAGCCGTGGGTAGTCAAAGCGATCCTGAGGGAAGAAAAGCCAGACAGTGCTGGAGGTACCAGCACCACACTGGAGAGCCTGAGCAGAGCTCTGTCAGAGCAGCACTGTACCGGCCCCACACACTGACGGAATACCGAAAGAACTCCACCAAATACAGCACCTCAGTCTTTTTATTTTCTCTCAAGACAGGGTTACTCTGTGTAGACCAGGCTGTCCTGGAACTTGCTGTGTGTACCAGACTGGCCTCAAATTCAGAGATCCGCCTGCCTCTGCCCCCCCCCCCCCCCCCCGAGTGCTGGGATTAAAGGTGTAAGCCTCCACCACCCAGCAAACCAGCATTTTCAAAAAACAGGCTGGGGAAACTGGCTATCCATATGTAGAAGAATGAAACTCAATCTTTATCTTTCACCCTGCACAAAAATCAGTTGAAAACAGATCAGAGACCTTCAAGTAAGACCTGAAACAAAGAAACTGCTAGTGAACAGCTTAGCAGGCATACTTCAAGAAACAGTCACGGGCAAGGAGTTTTAATTAATTACAAATATTTACAAATGAGAATGCATGAAATTTAAAACATTTCTGCACAGCAAATGAAACAATAATCAGAGCAAAGAGACAGCCCCCAAAATGGGAGAAAATCTTTGCCAACTATATACACCTTATAGGGAATTAATTAATCTTGAATAGACAAGTAAATAAACAAACAACAAAGGGACAAATCATCAAAATGACTTGAATGGATGGTTCTTTTTTTTGTCTGTTTGTTTGTTTGTTTGTTTGTTTGTTTGTTTTTTTCCCGAGACAGGGTTTCTCTGTGGCTTTGGAGCCTGTCCTGGAACTAGCTCTGTAGACCAGGCTGGTCTCGAACTCACAGAGATCCGCCTGCCTCTGCCTCCCAAGTGCTGGGATTAAAGGCATGCACCACCATTGCCCGGCCTGAATGGAAGGTTCTTAAAGAAAAACTTTTAGCAACCAATAATCGCATGAATAAATGTTTAACATATTTAACTGCGAGAGAAACAAATTAAAACTCCATTGAGATTCCATCTCACCTGAGTCAGAATGACTATTGTTGAGAAAATAAACAGGGCCAATGAGATGGCTCCATGTGTAAAGGCTCTTGTTGTGCACACTGGCAAATTAAGTTCAACTCCTGAGACCCACCTGAAGGAGCAAGGGTGGGTCTCACACACAAAGTTGTGCTCACTGTGGAATGTGTGTGTGCATCACACACAATACTAATACAATTTAAAATTAAAAGAAACAAAAATGCTACAAAGGTTGGGATGGGGCGGGAGCCCTTAAATGCTGTTGGTAGGAACGTAAACTAGTCTACATGGATCAGTAGTTCCTCACTATCAGAAACTAGAACGTCCACATGATTCAGCCCTCTGCCATCACAGTGGGTTCCAAAAGGCATGTTGCTGGTCTTGGTCTTCCCTTAGGCAAATGTTTGGAAGTCAGGGGTTCTCACTCCTGTGGTTCTAACAAGTCTCACACATGAAAATATCCTGTCAAACATGCATGAAGAAGTCGAGGCAGAGGATGGCCACTCTGCTAATCAGCCTCATCTAGAGAAGAAGCACAGACTTCTGCAGGAGAGCTGTGAAGAAATGGCTCGGACTGGAGTTAAAGAGAGGCTCCACCGTTCTTGCGGAGGACCAGGGTAGGGTTACCAGTACCTACATCTGGTGGGCACCAAGTACTCAGTAAGCAGCTAACAACCACTTGTAACTCCAGCTCTAGAGGATCCAGCTCTTCTGGACTCCCCACACTTTTATCCAATGACCACACAGAGATACATATACACACACATGATGAAAAAAAAAAACTTAAAGACTCAAACCTCTTATTTCCTATCTCCAACTTGAAACACAGTTGCTTAACCTGAATTCTTGGCTCCTGAGCCAAAGGACTGAGGAGACAGGAATGGGCCCCAAACCAGGGGTTATACAGTAAATTGGCTGCTGGTTTTGTGTGTCAACTTGACACAAGCTAGAGACACCAGAGAGAAAGATGCCTCAATTGAAGAAATGCCTCCATAAGATCTAGCTGTAAGGCATTTTCTCAATTAGTGATCAATGTGGGAGGGTCCAGTCATGGTGGGAGGGGCAGTGCCTGGACTGGTGGTCCTTGGTTTGATAACAAAGCAGGCTGAGTAAGCCAGTAAGCAGCATTTCTCCATTGTCTCTACATTAGCTCCTGCCTCCAGGGTCCTGCCTAGTTTGAGTTCCTGTCCTGGCTTCCTTCAGTGATGAATAGCAATGTGGAAGTGTAAGCCAAATAAACCCTCTCCTCCCCAGCTTGGTCTTTGGTCATGACATTTTGTCGCAGCACTAGAAACCCTAACTAAGACGTATAATATGTGCAATTTCCAACAGGGATGCAGACTTTATAAATACAGCATTTGAGCAGCTATCTGCTTGGATAGGCTGGGCTGAAGAAAGTAGGCAACTTAATGGCTAGACAAGACTGATTGCCTCTCTGCAGGGTCTGCTCTTTGTCATCCCAGGCTGACAAGCTGTAGCTTCTCTCTACGTGCTCTCTTTGATCTTGTCTTGGATTTCCATGAGAAAAACAGGCACTGCCCTGGAGGATGGTGTATTTCTGCCTGACAGAATGTTATAGCATTCCCAGATTATGGGTGGAGGGCAATCAGATAGTAGGCAGGCTCTGGTTAAACTGAAAATCCCTTCCCAAGAGCTATGCTTCATGAAGTGCTACCTGAGAACAAAAGAGAAGCCTTGCGTTCTGCTGATCTGAGGGAGAAGCGTCAGAGTAAAGAATCACTGTCAGGTTGGAGGAACCACAAAATTTAAAGGAGCCACCAAAGGCTGAAGGAACAACTACTGAGTCAAAGGCCACAATCGGGGAGGCAGGATCAAGGGAAACGTGGATGTGAGAGGTACCAAGCTCCAGGAGCTCTCGGTAGAAAGGTGGGGCCCCACGGGGCACTCTCAAGGCCACCGACACCCTGATCAGACTCCTGTGAGCCCTTCTTTCCTACAGTGGGGAGCTCTTCAGTGGTTCTCAAACAGCTGGGAATTAAGACTCCAGCTACAGCTGTTCTCCTGAAGACACACCCTCGGCAACCATTACTACCGACTGCAGTCACTCAATCGCCCGTGTTTCTCTAGCTTAGAGGCTGCGGCATAAGGACTCAGTGAGCCAGGAACAGTCAAAAGGAGTTGTGCAATGATCAGATCACTGGATCCTCATCAGAGTCTGCCTATTGATTGCTCTAGACTACACCCACTATATATGAATTATTTATTCCTCTAATCTCTACTATAACTTTATGAGATGGGCACTATTGGCAAATCATTTTTATATGTGATGAAACTGAGGTACAATGAGATGGAACACACTCAGGGCTGTATAAGTGAGTGGTGACAGAAGCTTCTCGCCCAGGTAGATGGCACCAGGCTCCACAGCCCTTAATTCACACTGCCATGCTTCCTGTGCACCTGATACACATGCTGTTCTCCAGCCCAGAGGTTCTACCTTCCTCCCTGCATCCACCTGCCTCAGCGTGCTAAAATCCATGTAGACTGTACGAGTCTATTGAAGTGTCACCTCCTTCAAAAAGGCTTTGCTTCAGACAGCCCCCAGGCTGGCTGGGAGTCACCACATATGTCTGTCTCTGTAGCTATATGCAGTTTCTCTTGCTGTCTCTCTGTCTCTGTCTCAGTCCTTGTCAGGCTGTGTTATGATTATATTTACATACTTGCATTCCTCATCAGACTGCCTTGGGGACTTCATTAATTCTTTACACACCTTAAAACATTTATTAAGAGCTGATTATGGAGCTGAGATGTGGCTCAATTGGTAGAGTGCTTACCTAGCATACATGAAGCCCCTGGGTTTGATCCCCACCACTGCATAAACCAGGTGGGATGGTGCACACTTGTAATCCCAATACTCAGGAGGTAATGCAGGAGGATCAGAAATTAAAGGTCTATATAGCAGGTTTGAGGTCAGCCTCAGATACATGAGACCACACACACACACAAAGACAGACGAGAAACAGAGAGAATAAGAGGGCGGGAGGGAAAGAGAGAGGGAGAGAGGGAGAAAGAGATTATGTATAAACTGTGTTGTGGGAGAGATAAAATAGTGAGTGTAACAGATGGAATTCCTGTCCTCATGAAGTGTACAGACTTGTAGGTTGTGGGGCAAGACAGCCACTAAAAGACATCACAAAGTATAATGCCACATATGACAAGTCAAGAAGGAAGGGGCAAGAGGAGGGAAAGTTATGCTGAGACCCAGTAACTGATGGGAATCACTTAGTAACAGGGAGACTGGCTGAAGAAACATGAGGAGCAATATTGAGAAGCCCTCAGCCAGGAGCAGGAAGGAAGGAAGGAGAGAGACAGAGAGACACAGAGAGAGAGACAGACAGACAGACACACAGAGAGAGATAACATGCATGTTTTGTTTTATCTTTCCCCCAGGTGAGAGATTTCAGGAGACACTTTACAATAGAGGCAAGCACAGAAACTCTTTAAGAATCACCAGACTGCCATTCCGACACACATGAACGAGAGGTTAGACCACGGAAACACATAATCTAATCTTCTGTGAGCTGTAACTGAGAAAGCATGTCCCCGTGTCTCATCCTGTGAAAGGGACTTTAGTTTTTTAGAAAGAAGAAGACCCCAGAGTTCTTGGACTTTCTGCCCTCGGTGAACATCAGATATTTGACTGGGGACAGAAATGTTGAGAATTCAAGGAGCTAAAAGAAAAATTAACGAGGATGAAGGGCCTGAAAAGGGGCTGCAAAAGTGTGTGATTAAGGGTTTTATGCTAAAAATTTAAGAATGCTCTGGAAGGCTTGCTAGCGAGCAAGTCACTTGCTGAAACCTGTGTCAGGAACTGCATGGGAGGTGGAGGGAAGAAGCAAATGCATTTTGCAGGGAACAGTGCAGAAGAGACGCCAACCTGAGCCATTCTTTGAGCCTGCTTCCTATACTCCCTCTGCACCATGTGACCACCTGGATTGCTTCTCATGCTAGCCTGAGTCCAAGTCAGTCCAGAAGCCAAGCTCAAAGCACTTCTTCCTCAGAGACGGCCATACTGTGCACAGGCCGGCAGTAGCCCCCAGCAATCCTAGAGGAGCCCTACTGGGTGGGTGACATGTTTGTCTAAGCTCAGCTCTAGATCTGTTCTCTGCCTGTTCCACCTCAGATCCACCCTTCTGCTTATAGGGCCCAAACCTTGGTGTTATCCTTAACATTTTGCTCACATCCCACATCAGCAAATTCTATTAGCTTTAATTCTGAATCTCACCAGGATCTAATGACGCCTCCCACATATTTTCCACCATTCCCGTCCAATTTACCATTAATCCACAACAGGGTGACTGTAAGAAACCCCTACTGGTCGATTTGCTCTGTCTTTGGCCTGCCCTAGTGAGCACACTCTGAACATGGGATGACCAAAATTAATGCTAGACCATGCCACCCCTCTGTCCAGATCCTTCCCACAGTGCTTAGCCCACCTGATCAGCTCATGTGGTTTGTCTTGTTCACACCCCCGTCTGGCAGCTCCCCAATGGGAGGAATTGTGTCTTGCTCACCGGTGTGCCCTCCTTACTTACAACTGTGTCTGCAGAAGGCAGGCACTCTGTAAGGATCTGCCGAATAAAGGCTGGACTGACTGAGAGGACTAGAGAGTAGATAACAGCACCGACACACCGCCTAGGCTGCCTCAATCCCAGCTGTTCTCCTGACACTCTGGAGTTGAAAAGAGCATAAAGAGAGCAAATGGTGCGGCCAAATCCCTAAGTCAGACGAGCCTGGAAGAAGTACAAATAGAGTGGAGCTACAGAGAAGGAAGATACAGTACACAATAATACCAAGACCCAACGCATCAGTGCAGAAAGGCAAGAGGGCAAGCTGCAGGTTAAGTCTGCCCACACTAGACATGCTCAGCTACTCTGAGCCATGGGTGCCCCTCTGCCACTGCTTTGTCTGATTACACTCTGGGTCTTCTTCCATGATGCCCTAGAATGCAACCCAGGGCACGGACAGTCCTCGTGTCTGCAACACGGAAGCAGGGTCTTAGGAGGAGTGGGGAGGGGTAATGATTAATACAGGTAGCCAAACAGCTCCATTTCTACCCATGACCTGAAGCAGATATGGAGAGACGTCATTTCTCTAAGTGGAGCACTGCCACTGGGGACACGGGGGAGGGTTGAGTGGGAAGGAAAAAGACAAATCACTGAATTTCAGTTTATTAAGGCCAAATTAAACATATTGAAAATAATAGTAGTAATTAAAATAAAACAAACAAACCTACCAGAGTTGAACCCACCACACTGAACCCTGGCAAGCTATGTATGACATCCTGCCCAAACTGAGAAGTTCTCCAGGAAAACATACCCTTCTTCTGTCTCATTGATGATGTCACAGATCTCCATGTTCAGTGTCCAGTCCTCGCTCTGCAGGGAGCCATCCGTGGCCTTTTCTGTGAAATTGGAAAGACACTGCTTTATATTTCTCCTAGAATAGGGAGCCCTCGCAGGAAAAGGAAAGAGACTAGAAGCAGCATCTCTAGGGCTGCTGCTTTCACAAGAGAACATCCAGGAGCAGCCTGAGCCTAAGCACCAAGGTTGTCTAGTCTCCAGATCCCGTATCTAGGAGGTCTGCGCCTCTAGAGCCCACAGATTCCAGAGTCAAACCACTGAGCTAGAATATGGGCTCCATCATTTACTAGTCGTGTAACTCTAGGCAAGTTAATTAACCCGAATGTGCCAAACCTAGTTAAAACTTTAGCATACAGCCTATCAAAATGGCTTAATATGTGTAAACCCTTAGAATACAGCTCAGCACACAGCCGGTTCTCTATAGATATCTGCTATTATAATTATGAAAAATCAACTGCAGTGGTTAAAACTGCATCTCAGAAGAGAAGGAAGAAGGGAGAATTCAGTAAGCTGCTGTGGGTATGACATCATAGTTTGGATCTTAATCCCCCCTCCCTCTATCCAAAAAAAAACCTGAGGCTAAGAGCTTAATTGCAGGTCTCTGGAGCCACTGGGAGGTGGTGGAGCCTGTAGGAGGCTGAGCTGTGTAAAAGGTAGTTAGGTCATTAGGAACATGCTCTTGGAGAGGATTTGGGGAACTCTTAGCTTCCTGGATGCCATAATGAGCAGTTTTGCTCACCCACGTATTTCCCACCAACAAAGCCAATTGACCTTGAACTGACACCATTTGTTACAATGATGCAAAGCTCGCTAAATGAAACACATGGTGTCAGTCCCTGACATGTGACAACCTTTTGATCATTTCATGGAGAAACAAAGATCCTGGTATTGAAAGAATGGCTCTTGGGGCTGGAGGGATGGTAGTTAAAGGCACTGGCTGCTCTTCTAGAGAACCCCGGTTCCATTCTCAACATCCTCACGGCACATCACGAACATCTGCAACTCCAGTTCCAGTAAATCAGATGGCTTCCTCTGACCTCCCTGCGCATGAGGCATGCACATGGTACACAGACACACATGCAGACAAAACACAGTAAAGTAATTGTTTTAAAAATGGCTTTCCATATGCAAAAAGATACTTTCTTTCTTTGTTAAAAAAGATTTGTTTATTTTCTGTATGAGTGCCCTATTTGCATGCCTGTATGCCAGCAGAGGGCATCAGATCACACTAGAGAAGGTTGTGAGCCACTTGGTGGTTGCTGGGAATAGGACTCAGGACGGCTGGAAGAGCAGCAGCCATGCTCTTAATCACTGAGTCATCTCTCCAGTCCCCATACGTTTCTTCTACCACGTTAACTCTAAACTTATTAAAGATGTGAACAAAAGTGCTGAAAACTTTGAAAAACTCTTAGAAAAAAGTAGGGGAAAGTTCCATGACACATAATTTGACAATGATTTCATGGATCTAATGAATGGCACTAATGGCACAGGCAACAAAAAGAAAAAATAAAGAAAGTAGACTAATAAATATTAAAGACTTGTGGGGCTAGAGGTGTAGCTGTGGCAGAGCTCAGTGGCAGGTAACCACCTTCCACAGGCCCTGGCTGTGATCTCAGCACAACAAACCTGCCTCCCCCATGCATTAAAGACAAACAACAGAGTGAAAAGGCAACCTATAGAATGAGAGAAGTCTTTGAAAAATCATACATATAATAAAATATAAATGCTCAGAATATATGGGGGCCTATAACTCAATAACATTACTACATAAATTCTGAGAAAAGTGCCAGACATGAGAGTATATGCTTATTATCCTAAGGAGGCTGAAGCATGAGTTTGAAGCCAGCTTGGGATATAGAATCTCAAATAAATAACAACAAGAACAAAAAAAAAAAATGGAGGAAAGAATCCAAATTGGAACTTATCCGAAGAAATATATTTATATTAGGGAAATACAGATCAAAACTGCAATAAATCAGTTGTGGTAAATACTGATGAAGATGAGGCAACAAGATTATGAGTTAGAGACTGTCCTGGGCTGTGTATCACTGGACTAGAGACATAGTTCATGATAAAAAAAAGTTTGCCTAGTGTTTTGTGAGACTCTGGGTCTAGTCCCTAAGACTGTTACAACAACAAAAACCTCTACAATGAGATATCATTTCATACTCACAGGGGAAGAATTTTTTTTTAGATTTTATCTTTTTGTTGTTGTTGTTGTTTTTTAGTACTTTGCCTACATGAATGACTTTGTACCAAATGCATGCAGTGCCTGAGCATCAGATGCCCTGCAACTAGAGTTACAGATGGTTGTTAGGTACCATATGGGTGCTGGGAATTGAGCACTAGTTCTCTGGAGGTGCAGTCTGTGTTCTTAACAATCACTGGGTCCTCTCTTCATCCTGACTAATATTTTAAAAATATAAAATAATAAGTATTGGTAAAGATGTGGAGAAATTGGAACCCTTCTCTATTGAGAATGTAAAATAGTACAGATATTATGTGAATCCTCAAAAAACTAAGTATAAAACCCATAAATTTTGCTTTGGGTACTTCCTTTCACAGAGGCATGTGTATACTCATGTTCACAGCAGAATTACCTCAACATTCTAAAGGTGAAAGCTTAATAGGTGCCCACCCACATACTAATGAATAAACAAAATACACACACAACAAACTCATCAACCTCACAAAGGAAATTCTGGTGCTACATCAGTGAGCCTTGAAGCCATTGTTCTGAGTGAAAGAAGCCAGGTTCAAAGGACAAATGATGTAAGATTCCACTCCTGTGAGAGATCTAGGGTAGTCACCATCACAGTCAGAAAACAGAGTGGGCCTGCTAGGGACTGAGGAGAGACGGGGACTTGTGTTCAGTAAGAACAGAGTTTCTGTTGGGGAAGATGAAAGAGGTTTGAGATGGATGGTGGTGGTTGCACAACGGCATGCACTTAATGCCATAGAACCGTACGCTCAAAATGGTTAGAATGGTACATTTTGTTACACACACACGTAAAACAACTTTTAAAAAGTCATTCAAGCTGGGCACTGGTGACACACACCTTTATCTTAGCACTCAAGAGGCAGGGGCAGGTGGATCTCCGAGTTTGAGGTCAGCCGGGTCTATAGAGAGAGTTCCAGAAGAGTCAGGGACACAGAGAGACCCTGTTCTGAAAAAACAGGAAAAAAAGAAATGACCCAGGGGCTGGAGAAAGGGCTCAGTGGTTAAGAGCATATTGCGGTTTGAGTAAGAATGTTTAGTCACAGGGGGTGGGAGTATTTCAGAAGGATTAGGAGGTGTGACCTTATTGGAGGAAGTCACTGGGGGTGGCTTTGAGGCTTCACAGGCCCCACTAGGGACAGGATCTCTCTGTTGGTCTGTGAATCAGAACACGGCTCTCTGCTTCCAGCAACATGTGTGCCACTATGCTCCCCACCATGATAATGGTCTACACCTCCAAAATTGTAAGCAAGGGCACAGTTAGATGCTTTCTTGCCAAGAGCTGTCTTGGTCATGCTGTCTCTTCACAGCAATAGAACATTTGCTAAGACATTTGCTGCTCTTCCAGAGGACCCAAGTTTGGTTCTCAATACCCAGGTCAGGCAGCTCACAATTCCCACTTCAGAGAATCCAACGCTCTCTTCTGTCCTCCATGGGCACTGGCACTCACATGCACATATTCGTAACCACCCCCCCCCTCCCCGCCACACACACTCATTTTAAAACACCCAGAAAGGAAGAAAGTAAAGATAGATCAATAGACTCTCTGGTTGGAGAGAATAGAAAGTAAAGATCTCTGGGGTCTGTTAAAAGGGAACATAAGACTCAAAAGACTCGAGCTGAGGAAGAGAACTAGACCCTGGGTTACTTGATGCCTTTTTCCCTCTGGGTTATGAGCCCCACATGGCAAGGAATACTCTTTCACCTTAGTTAGACAGACTCCCTGGTAGGCAGACAGGAAGAGGGATCATGGCTAGGTAATAAGGGTAGAGAATTTTCAAAAGCTCCTACCTCAACCTCCTGATTTAGGACAAAAACCTGGCAGCTTTTGTCTCTCACCAGCAGGCCGCCTGCTGATACAGCCTTCAAGAGGTGGTGGCTCACCCCTTTAATCCCAGGGCTCAGGAGGCAGAGGCAGGCGGGTCTCTGTGAGTCCAAGGCCAGCCTTGCCTATAAGAGCTAGTTCCAGGACAGTCAGGGCTATACAGAGAAACCCTTTCTCAAAAATAAACAAACAAACAAACAAACAAACAAACAAATAAATAACTCAGCCTTTAAAAAGAGACTGAATTTTCGGCTTTCCAAGTCCCCTTGTGCTGCACAGGGGGTCTTTTACTCTCTGGAGTGTATGTCGGCTACATGTGTGTGTTTCCTCACCCACAATAAATGCTTCCTTTAAATGCTGGTTCTGCTCACAGTGCTTGAGATTTCTCTACTGATACCTGTCGCACCTGGGATTTTTCCTGCTGTTTAATTCTTTAGCTGGCAGAGAAAACAAACCTGATCAAGACACATAGACTGTAAAATTACCGCATCACCAGAGTCTAGCATTTGGGAGCTACGCAACACATTTATGTCTGATGAAAGCCTAGAGTCACACTCCCTTCTCCAAGTTAGTAGTTCTCAGCAATGTTTACACATGAGACACACATACCCACAGGTTCTGGTCTGATTGGTGGAGGAACACAGCCACCATTCTGGAAAGCCTCATGAAGGCTAAGGAACCCTGTTGTGGACGGCACCCTTCACTGGTGCTCTCTAGCAGAGCAGTTAGAGGCAGACCTGGCACTTTCCTCTAAGAGTGCAGACTCCCTGCCCTGTATGCAGAGACTGTCACTGTGTGGTGAGGGACATTTGCATCCTCCTCGAAAGCTCCTTGGCACTAGGGTACAGGTATCAAACCACCCAGAGTGACTGGCCACCCTCTGTTAGCACCCAGACTGTCAATGTAGGTGTCTTAACCATTCCCTTCTCCTTAGCTTCCAAAATGGTGTGTGGCACACTTCAGGCCCTTGCCAATCTTGAGAAAAGGCATTTGGGCCA